GCTCATTTTTTGGTCAACGAGCTCGAATCGATTCGAAGAGTATCCTTATGGGGCTCGACGGAACGCCGAAACTTCAACGGGGCAATCGCGACGGGTTTGCCAAGCTTGTCGTAAATAAATACGGAGGAAAGTGGTAGCGTATGCTTTGAATGGCTCTCCGTCACTCGGAGCTTAACCCTACACCGTTTGCACATTTGTGTGCGCGACCGACTGTATGTTCCCCGTGAGTATGTGCAGAGGCTTACAATTGCAAAGCGCATTCTCCGGTAGCCACAGCAGCAGCAGCAGCAGCAGCAAATAGAACAGGCTGCGGCAATAGCGGTGGCGAAGAATAAGAATCTTATTTATTTGTTTATTTTTCTCGAGCTTCAACCACTGCCTGAGCGTCACGTGTTCAGATTGTAAAACAATTCTTCTCTCCTAGACCTCAGTCAAGCGGCCGGCGAACGAGCGATCCGCAACCAGGATAGGCGGTGGAGAGAGGCAAGTCAACCAGGATGGTAAGCGGAATTGAAGTCGGTCGCGTCACTCGACAAGAGTGCGACGATGCCGGGATCGACTCGTGCCATCGCTTCTTTTTTTTTACAATACAGTCGCAGAGAATCCGCTCGTATATCAGTTTTCGAACAGAATGCCGATGACGCGTTTACTGCAGGCACGATAGCGAGCGCAGATTGACCTGGTCTAACTAAGCAAGGGAATATGTGGCAGGAGCAGTCATTCCACGCAGAGGTCGAAGAGGGAGACGGGAAACCGTGGAGTTCACGCCCGCGGCTGGTCTATTTCCGGCCCGCGCTGGAACTGAGCCGATGACTACGTTTTCTTCAGTAATTTTTCAGTCCTGTACGCGTTTCCTCGAATTCACAAGCCGCAGGATACGATCGGCCCCTCTCAATTCCCTCCTGAAGCGACGGAATTGAACTGGAAGTCCCCAGTACCGATGTCCTGGAGTCTGAAGTTCGGAGATCTTGTTTTCGTAGAGGGTTCGCCATGACTTCGGCGTACACCATTACAGCCTGAGACAGCAAGTGACTCGGAGCAAGAAGAGTCGAACTGTAGTTTCTAATGATTGTTGTCAATTACCTTTGCTGCATCTATCGTGCATTACGAGCAGAGAACGTGCTCTATGTCAGCCGCAGTCAGACGAGCTCTGCTTTGCTGCAAGTGAGCGATTGAGGGAGCGAGCGAGCGAGCGAGCAGACTGCCGATCCATTAGCACAGCACGAATAGAGAAGCACTCGGAGCTTTCCGACTCGTTCGGGCCCTCTCATCGTTGGCTCCCGCTCCGGGTAAAAATATCGAGCGACGCACCAATGGAAAAGGCCAGACGGACCGATTCACCGACACCGTCATGATCGTGGAGCGGACGCCTACGCGCACTTGGAGACACTCAGAAGCTGAGACATTAGACAGATCCGCGGCTTGTCGCCTCCTCCTTCATTCATTCGTCTGTTTCTATCCGAATGATTTGTATTTGGGTGGTTTCGGTGAGGAACAGGACGGCTGCTAGGAGAAGGCGGTCAGGACAATAAATCTGAAAACACCATTGAGGAATTTCTCGGAGGATTTTGAAGCTCGAAAACTTCGAAAAATGCACCTAGACATCCACGGTCATACATTTCTATCTATGGGCGGAAGGTCATTCCCCGGAAGCTATCCCCAATAGGTATCGAAATCCTCGATGCCAGTGAATCCATGGATTTAGCTGGATGCGATGATAGAACCGTGGAAAGCACGAGTTTCGCATAAGTAAATAGTCTTAAATCAGACGCTCACGAAACCGAAAACTTCCGTCGGAGCGGAGTCGGATCGGCATCGGGCCTCGAGGAAGGGGTTCCGTCAATCTCGAGGATGGAACGGATGCATCAATGGAAAAAGTTTCAATTCAAATTATTATTTGGCCAAAGATGAATAGAGCAGAAAGCAATGGGGCAGCCCTGATGAGGACCTCTCTCTCTCTCATGAGTTTCAATCATTTACCGTTCGCCACTCACAGCTACTCACACATGGGCAAAGGAGGTTTGAGTTTTTTGACTGCTCGCCTAGCAAAGCTACAACGTCATTTGTTCTCGGTGTCTGAGCCACAAAGGCTAACATCCACGCGGACGAGGTTTTCTCTGTCTGTCTCGCTCGCTCGCACGCTTGTTCGGCCGAGAGGTCATTATGTCAAAAATTGAAGTTTGTGATGAATTAAACTTCTTCTCTTTAGGGTTGCTCTGACTGTCGCTTGTTCTTCGGAGCCTTCGCTCAGCTTCTTGGTTGGTCGGTCGGATGGTAGGTCGGTTGGCTGGTTGATGTTTTAAAGTTGTACAAGTAGCTGACGGTCGGTCGGTCGGGCGCTCGTCCATGGTGGCTCTGTTTCATTAAAGCTTCTTAGGAGAAGCGTTGTTCATTTTTACTTGGACAAGTGCTCGCGTTCGCTCGCTCCTCGCTTGCTCACTTGCGTCGAAACTTTAATCAATCCTCAACTCGACGAAGTATCGCAAATGAAATTAGAGTTCGACGACTGCGGCAGTGGCGCACTGCTCTCCGAACGGGACTCGGACGGTGAATATGAATTACGATGACGAAAACGACAATTGTCCGGACGAGGAACTGTCTCCCGGAGCGCCGGACGGACTCTCGTATTTCGTCCCATGCAAATGTCCGGCCGTCGGAGTTCGAACCCGGTTTGTTGCTGATGAAGTCACGCTCTCGCTCAGGCCAAGCAACGGCGGTATGGATTGTTCATCTGGCCGTCCGCTCGTTCGTTCGTCCGCTCGCTCGCTCGAGTCAGAATCGCGTGCCAGAGTCCATTCGGACGAAGGCGGGATTTTGTTTATATTTATGAGTACGACTCTGTATGTCGCTTGTGTGAACTATCGAACAAACAAGCGTATTGCCTTTACAGCGTGTTTCGAGGCTTCTCCTCATACCTCGCAGCGGTCCGTGTGAGTCCGTCTTCGTGTCGGTTTGCTTCTCTCTTCGTTCGAATGTTGTGGCCACATTTCGACGGGACGAGCAAACAGCGCAAGTGGATGGGATGGGCGGGTCCAACTGAAGGACATATCTTCAGCGAATTTTTAAATTGCCGAGATTTGCCCCGCCAAAGGACTTTGCAGTCAACAACAACGGAGGGGAGGCTCTGCCGCTGATGACTCCGAGCACGGATCAAGGGGTGGAGATGTTATCGCCTTTTCGAAGTCTTCGACTCGAGTAAATACAAACATTCGATTGGGACCGTTCCCCGACACCTCCGGATCCGAACTCCGCTCTTCGTGTACATCTCTCTGACTCCAACTTCGTGAGCCAGCTAACGAGGATGAGATTGAGGATGGAATTGAACACCTGGTCCCTGAAAACATGCCCGATAGCTCTAGAAGAACATCGGACAGGGCGATGGGAATGACGTTGCGGTGGTGAGAACTCGCTCGCTCCATCTCTGATCGCCGAATTCGAGCAAGATTGCTCAAAACTTCTTTGGAAACGAAGCAGACATCTTTGGGCAAGAACAAAACTCCATTAGATCCATTGACCGCTGCCGTGTCAGAAAAACGGGAGTCGTTCCCGGAGCTCCCATCCAGTTGAAATGTTTTTAACATTGCGACGCCAGAGTGAGCAGTGGGAAATCGCGAAAACGACCACAATAAGCTATTCTCATGCGGAGCGAACAAATTAAAAGCGTCGAGCGAAAATTGAAAATTAAGCGTGTCCACATAAGTTGTTCCGTACTTTGACTTCAGAAGCTCTGAAGCGACAACGCTTGAATTAGAGAAGTGGAAAGTTGGAACATCGCCCGGCGACAAGGCCGGCGCAGCCGATGCCAGAATGAAAAGTACAGAACGCGAGCCTGAGAGACTCGGCAACACAGTCACGTTCTCACGCGCTCCAGCCTTTCGACTTTTGATTGTTCCTCGCCAAACTTAGTCAAGTTTCTGAAGACTATCCAGATTCCTCACCGCACGCTTTTCATTAGCCGGGACTCACACCGCGAGCGAGAAGTTTCCATGGTGTCTGATTGCGCGTTGCGATAGCATCGGATCACAGCTCTGCGACAATATCATACGAGGGAAGGCGCGAGTCTCTCGACGTTTCTTACGAAAGCATTTGAAACCGTGCCTGTAGTGATGCCAAGAGTCTCCAATCGGCACCAGGGAGAAATTCCCGTCGTATTCTCCACGGAAGGAGAGAGGCCCCCGCCCACCGAAGATTGTATGTCTCGCCATTGTCATGTGAAGGAGCGTGGTTTCGAGACTTCGAAAAGAATCCTCCGCGGATATCTGTCCGTAATCCATGTGGGTTTTCCATTTTTTTTATCGGGACATCCTCGAGCATTCAAAGCTCCAGACGTCGAGTCCTAGGCTGCTAATCCTGGATCCGGGGCGGCTCTGACGGTAACCGTGATACCCACAAAACCTTTGCCGGGAGCCCATACGCGGAACTTCATGGAACATCCGGCTAAATCCCTGATGTGAACTTCGACAGGAACGTCCGCCTCTAATGACAACTCCCGCTTGAGCGGAGCGACGGACGTCTCCCGGTGACGCGTGTTTTGAGACAGGCTGCTGGGCTAGCCGATCTCTGGATAAGTCCCTAGAACTCGGTACAGCTCGCACGTTCGGATCAGAAAAAGGTCTCGCGGTAGAAGGAGCTCGATCGAAAGTCACCCGCCCCTCTGGAAGGTTAGGTGCTCAGAGTCGATGCACGTTGTTGAGATGTTCGAAAAATGTAATTAGGGTTAGGTGAGAAGCTGAGAGATGCCGCGACAGCTCCTCCCCGGATCTCCCAGATATGGTTCAGATGGAACTCCATTATTTTTCTTCCCCCTCCCTTGATGATAATTTAGTCCACAATCAAATTGAGGGATTTTCCATTTCGAACTCCGAATTCGATATCTCCGTTGAGAACGAATTCCGATTCTGGCACATCCGCCTCCCGGCCGCGTTGTCGATCATTCACCTGAACAACGAAGCAGGGATTCGTGAGGCTCCTTCCGTGGACAAGCGCTGTCAACAGGTACGATGACGGACTTCATGCCGCCTTTCAACAGGAAGAGGAACAAGTTTAGCGAGTTCGAGAAGAACATGCTGAAACAAATACATGCGGATCAGCAACGTGACCTTTCCAACCACGTAGTCGACGAGAAAAAACTGCACGACCTCTGCAAAGAAGAGGAGTACATCTTCGAGCTCCAGACCGAGATTCTGAATCTCTACGAAGATATCGGTGCACGTCAAGCAAAGGTCGACAAGCGTGTGAAGAAGCTTCGCACCAAGAACTCGATCGGGAGGTTCGTCGGTGACTACATCGAGAACCTTCAGGACTGGGATGGCGAAAGTAAAGTCGAGGAGACAGCCGACGCGGATATCAAAGCTTTGCAGGATTCAGCTCTGGCAATCGTAAATGAGAACTGGAGCACCAAATTAGCCATTGACGCTGCTGTCGAGGAGCTCTACCAGATGGAGCTCAAGATAATGCACAAGAAAGTCGACATGGTCTGGGAAAATCTTAAGGATCTTCCGGTGAAAAAAAAACTGAGTTCTAAATGGTTCCTAAATAAAACTCTCTGGGCCACCCCTCAGCAGTCGAATCCGATGAGAGTCACTCCAGTCTCGGCATGGAAAGCAGGGGAATCTCAACACCTCGACGTTTGAAATTCTTCGCCGTATGTCCCCAGCGGGACGAACGATTTCTCAGATCTCTCGCCAATTCTAAAGGATCGCATCCGAGTAGCAGAACTTATCCGCAAGCCGCATTTTTCCCCCTTCCCCCACCGTCATGATGTAGACCATCTGCCCGAATCGGTAGATGAACGAGGGCTATCGTTAGGACTCTGAGCTTGAATTCAGTCGACACCAGGTCATTTCACCACGGAAATTTAATTTCTTCATTCGATGCTTCCAACATTGTACACGAGGAACTGCTGTTCCCTACTCTGCTGCATCCTGTATTCGTTCCATCCGATATTAACAGTCATCAGATACCTGAATAGATCAACTTCCGCAGCCGGACCAGGGCGCGCCTGATTCAAACTGAGCATTAAGAGACCATCGGTTCCTCTTTTTCGGAATTGACATGGGCTAACCATTCTGGGTGAACCGTCGCGATATTTTCCAAAACTGTGTTCACTTGGCTGCACAGCTGGCCGATCCTCGAGTTCCATTGGGGCAGCGGCGCCGAATCTAGGGAGAAGAGAGGAGTTATTCAACCTCGGCGATATCCAGAGACCACAGACGCGATCCAGGGCATCGTATTCGCCTCGTCCTCTGATTCGGAATGCCCGAAACTGGAATCGTACCTTCGAACTGCACCATGCCATCTATCTGATCGATGAAGCCTCGCAATCTTCCCTCGGTGATCATTTGACTCGCGCATTTCTCTGCGTTTTCGGGATCGATTTCGAGTAGGGCCCCGAGCTCGAGGAAGGTGATGTTATTGTAGAGCTTCGAAGCCGACAAGAGATTGTGTTCGACAATAGCGCTCTCGAGGAAAGGGGCACCCCCATCTTTGATCCCTTTCTGATGGGGCTGAAGGAGCTGCGCGAACTCATCTGGAAGCGAGGAAATTCGATTTGAAAATCTCCCCCTATAGCTTCCCTCGCATTCCAATGACGAATCGTCGCTAAATTACACAGAGCCTCGCAAGATCGGCTGCGGCAAATCAGAAATTGTTGTCTCACCGAGCTCACTCCGTCTGATTATTCGATCGAGGTACATTTTCTCCAAAATATTGAAACTCGGTAATTTCTGCGAACGTTCATCCTTGAATAGCGATGCGAGCATCCGCGAACGTATCTGCCCCGCCGAGGCCAGCGTCGTGCAAATGAGAGCGTTTTTCAAAGCGGACATTTGCTCCTTCTGCGAGACCAGTGGACAGTAGGAGATTTCACTGTACTTCTGCGCGGCTTCCATGAATTTCCTGAATATAAAATAGGAGGAAAAGTTTCTCATTGGGTAGAGCCCTCGAATTCGACGGGGAATGTGGATGAGAGGAAAATAGGGCGATCGAATGCAGCGAATTAGCTCTCCCTTAGTGGAGTCTCTTCGGGGATTTCGGAGTTCCTGATCACCCACCTTTTGTAGTCCAGGATTCTTGCATGGCAGATCTTGTACAATACCATGTTGTCATCGTTACTCTCAGGATGGAGCAGCGACGCTCGGTTCAGAAAAGTTTCAGCCTTTGAGACCTCGCCGCATTCCAGATATAGCCGAGAAATTCTCAGGTAAGTTGTGACTTTGTAATCCTTAGCATACTGTCTCTGACCGTTGTCGAGAGGGATCTCACTCAAAACGGATGCAGCTTCTTGCCATTGACTCTCATGCTCGTATATATCAGCCAGATGATGTCTGACGGCAATGTCCTGCTCCTGTGGAAGAGTCGAAGGACCATTAGCTTCGCGGTTTCCTCGGCGTGCCATCTTCATAGGCAGGTTCAGTCCAAGCGAAGATAAGAAAATCGAGCGAAAACGGAGGGATATCGGATACGTGGGGAGGAGCGACCAAACAACTAGATCTTTGATGATAATTGATAACACAAAACATACTGACCTGGAAAGAGATTATCCTCGTTTGCAATTTGTCCAAGGTAAATAGACAGAAATCTTTCGATTTCTGACCATGTCCCATCTGCTGGACATGACTTGCAACGTCGCTCAGGAGCTGACGGGAGATGACAAGGGACACATTCTCGTTGACAACTGCGGGTGAGTCGAGGATTCGATTAGGAATTGCTCCTTGAGCTGCTCCCCCCTACAACCTCTTCGGTCGGAATTTCGGGGAACCGGGCCAAGAAATCGAGTTCTCTCCGAAAGGCTCATCAAGACATTCGGAACTTACCGGACTCAACGAAAACTTTGAGCCGCTCGCATCTCTCGGTCTCATCTGGAATAGCCAGAATACTATCGAGGACTTCTCGATACCTGTGGAGGATTCAAGAGACGAAAGACAATGAGTGCGACTTCATCAGATTGGTGCGTGCCTCCGAAATCTCATCGTTATCTCTATAGGTTCTACCCATGTCTCTGACTGTCGGACCGGATTCGCAAAGGTTCTGGAAGATCTTCACTCACCGGTCAGCTTGTTCTTTCGGCGAACGCGAACCCAATTGCAGAGAACTGAGGAAACTTCTGAAAGAGTCCGACATCTTCTTCTGCGCTTGGTATAATGAAGAAGGAGCGCTCCCGAAACGGAAGGTTCCCAGTCGGATGACAAGGCACCGGAGAACCTCAACTTCTGAAATTCGGGATGACAGAAGCTCTGAGACACCGCACACGCGAAGCGCTAGAAGTCTGTGATTGTGTACGGGAGTGCGCAGACGAATTTTAGGGTGAGGGAGAGAGGCAGCCGCCACCCGCCACAGCCGCGACCGGCCTGGACGACAGCCGTGGCCGGCGCGAGAAATTGCTCCAAGTTGCCGGGCGGAGGGATTCTTTCGCATCGTTGGAGTGACTTCGACCGCACAAGCGGGATCGCAAAAGCCCAGATTCTCGACGATCGTGATAATGGATCAATAGAGGTGGCCGCCTTCTCCATCGCAACTAGTACTTCGAGGCGTCAGGTCATGTGGTTAGGCAGCGGCAGCGCGGAGCGGCAATTAACATTGATTAGGACTTCTTCGAGATCTTGCTTCTTATTCCAGGCCGGCACGCCAAACCCTCGTGGCAGAGCTCATTCTCGTCTTGATATGCCGATGCCGGCGACTGAAGCTTGACAGGCTCCAGTATCTCGTCAATACGATTGGAACCCCTGCTGGGATATTCATAATCGCCCACCTTCTCAGTCAGCGGAGGGTGAAGGTACCCAAGGTGGAGGGCGGATTTCCATCTTACGGGATTCCTTCGAGCGCTCAATCCATGAGACTAACTTCGGAGCTGATCGCGGTGAGGATGACAGAGTAGGGCAGCCTCTTGGCCTTGTGTCCGCGTAAGCTGGAGGCGGATGTAACCTGTTTGGACGGCGGCCACGGGAGATGGGGGCGATTCGATGTCGTGGTTGCAGTCTCGAGCGATATCCCCTGAGGCTACACGAATCCAAGAGTACAAGATGAAGTCTCGAACCTCCCCTGCTGTCTGAAATTTCCTTCGCGTCCTCCCTTGCGCAGCTCGGCTTGCCCTCTATCCGCTGAACTGGCCGGAACCGCCGTCTTTTTGTTCAAGAGACCACTGCGTAATCACCTCTATCGACGAGACGAGCTGGGAGTTTCAATGAAGTTCACGAAACTAAATTTCACCCATTTGAAGCAATTGAAAGCTGACGGCGTATGGTTTGTCGTCGTCGGGAGCCCCTTTTTTGTCTCCACTTGGACTTGGGACGGCTCACCGACACAAGCGTCCAGCCTCCCGGCACCAACTCCCGAAATCAGGAAGTCCCTTGTCCTCCCCCGCCTCCGCTGCGGCCGCATTCGAAGAGTCGGAGAGAGATGTTCGGATCTGGTGGATTCTGTGTTTTCGCTGCTGTTCAGCGTGAGACTCCGGTGGAGGGGGATATATTCCACGCTTAGGATCTATATTTGGAGAATTTACGAAGTTCGGATCTAACTTATCGCTCCCTAGCTCGTCGGTAGTACACTTGGCTGCACTGATTGCTGAAAAAAGGAGCAGGAAGCGCCCCTCGTGCTTAGCGCGGAGAAGCGTCGAAGTCCTGAGGAACCAATGCTCCGGAGCTCCTCAACGGAGGGAGGAGTCTTTGTCATCTGTTTCAGGAGAGACTTTTCGTCCATTTTCCAATTCGTTGCTGCTTGGTCTCATACCAAGACTGACCTCAATCGAATTAGCGGTTCTAATACATTTTGCGGCTCTTCGCTCATGTCGACCGGTTAGGACGGTCGACCGGTTCGGACGGTCGACCAACAGTCAGCCGACCTGACCGAAGGCTGCTTCCTCTAGCTAATCAAGTCACTGTCATGAGTCAGTATCGGAGTGTCGTCGGACAACTCGAGTTATCTTTCAGAGTGCTCTCCAATGAAACGATTCAATTCCTCGGCTAACCCCCTCAATCAACGCAGTTTTCTGATCCAAGCAATTCCTCGTTCGTTCCTACGGAATAATTCGAATAAAATACGACGGATTCATACCGCCACAGAGCTCTCTCTAGAGCATTTTGGGAAGCGTATATCGTTCATCACATGCACGTTCGCATTCGTTCCAAGTCACGTGCTCAGACCTCCGCGATATTTTCGGATCAAGGTCCTTCATGGAAGAATCCTCTCGACCTTTTCCGACTTCTTATGCGGAAAGCCCCTATATGAGAAGTCCTCATGCGGGGAGTCCCTTATACGAGAAAGTGCTTGTTCGGGAAGTACCTTCTACCAAAAGTCCCCTATACGCGAGGTTCCTTTTGCGGAAAGTCCCTTATACGAAGCGGTATTTTCGGGAATGAAAGGTCCCTTATACGCGGGACTTTAGGCTCGAGTCTCATGCGTAACCCCACATTGCCTATAACGAACCCCGCGTATAGCGAACCTCGTGTATAGCGAACCCCGCGTAAGGGAACCTCGTGCATGAAGAACCTCGCCTATGAGGCACTTTGTATCCATATACGCTTCTCAATACTTCGTTCAAAAGCACTCATTCCCATCCGGATAATGCTCTTCATCATGTCAAGCATAAGAGATTCGAAAAAAAGGTCGCCCAGAGGTCAGAGAGTTTTATGGATCAGGTATTTTTTCAAAGGAGTCTACCAGGGGTGTGCATAATATGCACTGCATATGGAACGAGGAAATTTTTCAGGTGAATTTTTTTCCCGAACTAGAACTTGCAATCTATTCGATGTAGGCTTCTTGATTGGATACACACTCCGACCACCTTCCTGGCGGATTGTGGATGCCCTTGTGACAAAAGGCTTCATCTTTCGAGTCGAACCATTCGACCACCCATTTTTTCCACCTCTTCAAAATTGGAGGAACGCTGATTATTCAAGGGTTGGCTCATCGATACGAAAAGATGGTATTCCGAGGGTGCTTAATACGGAGAAAAGGCAGGGTGTGACAAGACTTCCAATTTCAGAGCGCACAAAGTTTCCCGGGTCGGTTTCGATGTGTGACATGAGCGTTGTCGTGCAGCAATACAATGCGCTTCCGAATTTGATCCCGATTTGGTCGTTTTTCTTTGATTGCACGGTTCAAATCGATTAACTGTCTTTTGTACCGGGCAGCTTAAACAGTTCCACGGGATTCTAGTACCTGATGATGCGTCACTCCTCTTTGATCTCACCACACACAAAGCAGTCTTCTTTCCGAATCGATTCCTCCTTACTGACTTTTCTGCTGGTTGTCCGGGGCTTACCCACGATTTTTTGCGTCCAGGATTGTCGTAGTATATCCATCTTTCATCAGTAGTAATGATACGATACCAAAAAATACAGGCGCCCCGCCTGTTCAGTTCCGACTGAAGAAGGGGACACGTACGACTACGTCAGGGTTTCTTATTCATCGAAACCAAGCAAAATCGGTTAGTAGATCGGTTGATGCGCGTGATTCGAGCGTAATTTATTCGGACTACGTGTAATCATACCTAGTGATAGTTTTGTCGCCAATACCACAACAGCGATGGGAGCGCGGAGTTCATTCGTCCATTAGTCATTTTTAGCGATGTTTGGTCCCTGACTCATTGTCAGTCAGAGACTCTATTTGATGACAGAAGACATCGGCCAGTGTCAGATATATTGTAGAATCCAGAAGATCGCTGTTGGGCCCGCGTCGTGATTGTCAAGCGGGAATTCGCTCTACGGCACAAGAATTCCGGAGTGTAAGTGTTTCTTAGTACGTAGAGCCGCTCTCTCAGACCCGTTGCTCTAAGCGGATAGACCAACGGCAGTGACGGCCTGTGAATCTCGTTCAAGTAGGCGCTCCTGATTCCTGATTGATTGGGAGGGCGAGTGGTTACTATATCCGTTTCACTACTTCCGGTGCATTTGTTCACCTTGGGTAGTGCCCCTATATCTCCGCGACCTAGGACGCAGTCCTACGTCAAAACGACTCAATTTCGAATCTCGAAAGCAGATCCCGACAGACTGTAAATCGCCTCTCTTTCTGTCGCTCATAGACTTCGTGTGGCACCCGTCTGCCAAGCGTTGAGATTCGATTCCTTGATTCCTTTATTTGATACGACAAATTCAGGGTCGGTCGAAACATAGTATAAGGGCTTGGAGTTCGGGAGCGTCGCGGGCACGTCGGGCCAGGCGCCATGCGAGTGCATGGTCCACGACAATGTTTTTAGCCCCTCCGAGAGGGCGAAGAAGGGATGGTCGAATGGCGAGGATGCGCCTGAACACTCGGTCGTTGGCGACTTGGTGCTATTGGGAGACGGAGGGAACGTCAATGAGGTTTCGTTCGGTGTCACGACGGTAAGCGACACGACGTATGCAGCGGTTTATCACAGTCTGGTGATCTTCCCCATTTCGTTGAGTCTCTTGGAAATCGTTCTACGATCAAGTCTCAAGTAGTCCTAGCGAGGTCACAACGAATTTGAGTGTCGTTCTGATCGAGAAGAACTCGCGACTCTTGACCCCGGTACTCTTCTGAGGGTCGTCCCTCGTGGTTCGTTCTTGACATTGAAGTTTCCCTCCGCAAACGTCTCACACCACTTGTAGTAAAGAGGTTCGCTAAGCGCATGATCACCGAACGCTTCTTCAAGCAGGGAGTGTGCCTCCGTTGCATTCTTCTTCAAGTGAGAACAGAAAACCAGCGATGTCCTGAGAATCTGATTTTCGGGCACGTAGAGATGGATTTTCTCGTTTCATATGCCTAATCCCCACCTCGTCATCAGGAATGCCTTGTACGGGTCGCTATCGTGGTCTTCGAAATCACTTCGGTCTGATATTTGATCTGCTCGCTCGTCCGTCGTAGGAGACACTTGAGCATATGGAGTGAGCCCCCTCATGAAATCGTCCACCACCGCTCCGAAAGCCTCGTCGACGACTACGGCGATATTTGCGTAGCTCATTGTCCTCAGAGGTTCTGTTTTCTAATAGGGTGCATTATCTCCCGACGACATCCATTCTTCCCACAATTTTATCAGGTTGACTTCGGGAGCCTTGTTCACGCTCATGTCCAGGGGCTGGCAGAATTTAGTTCGACCCCCTGGAATGACAGCAATCTTGGAATGCCTTTCAAATTCGGTTCGAACTCGCTCCGTCAAGTGACAGGGGACGAAGTCCATAATTGGCAATGATTTGCTCGGGCCTGGGTTCGAAACGTCGTCCTCCCCAAACTTCGTTCAGTCATTCAATCATGACTGATTTGTTCGTCCAGCCCTTCTGGTTCGCCTTGACCACGACTCAAAGTGAAATATCTTCTCCGGGGATCAGCTTCTTTTTGAACATGGGCATTGAAGGCAGTTCATCGCCGACGGCCGTGACGCACAAAACTATAGAGATGGTGTTTTTGACATTACCGGTAGTGTCTATTTCCGCACTGTCTGAGCCTTTCGGTGCGACACTTCGTCCGTAGACTATATCGGAAAGTACAGGTACCTCTACGAAATTACCGATGTTCGACAGATCGATATCGCTCGTTTCGGAGTAGAATCTCCGATGCGACTCGATCTTTCCGAGGTGTTCCTCGGCAACTGGTTGGCCCACACTCGTTGGCCTCCTCACGCTAATAAATTCGTTGCGTTTCAAGAACCTACGGGCCCATTCATTGGAAGCCTTAGAGCTCATGTCGCCGAATTCACGCACAACTCTGAGAGCCTTCCCCTGAATGTCTCTGATCATCACGGCTCTGTTTTTCGCTCTTTTTGCGAGCAGCCATCCTTCAACTTCAGCTTCCATGTCTGGGCTGTTTACCTGGCCCCGCCTAAAAGCCCGTCGACTCCTCTCGGTGGTCCTGAGCTTGTCCTGCTTTCCCTTCCAATACTGCAACGAGACGAGGAGGAGACTCCTGTGGGTTTCATTTTCGAGCTGAAGTCGACCCTGCAAGGATACGCACAGGAGATTGCAGAGGCTCGCCACTCGCAACAAACTTGACCACACAAAGTGAGCTCCGTCGTTCCACTGAGAGTTGGGTACTAGGTAGATCTTTCGGGTCTTTCGAGTTCAAGGACACTGGGAACTCGTGAAGAAGCCGAGAGTGATGGGAAATCATGATACGTGCCTTGCAGGCACAGAGAGAGGCGGCAAAGCGCGAGAAGCGACTGCGACCCCTGTCAATTGCGTCAATCTTACACAGCTGAAAATCGGTCTGAGGCATGAACCATCCTCGTCGCGGCTCTCGTTCAGTGAAGTCGTTGACATCGACATATCTCGAACATTCGTCCGCAGTGCGTGCACCTCGATCTAGCAGCGTGCGGAATTTAGCAGCGATCACGGTCAAGGGTCAAGGCAATGAAACAAAAAAATGGAGATCGCCAGATACGATGACTTGCGAATATCGAGATCGACGTCTGTCTAGAGAAGTGATGAAGTTCAAAAATTCGGTTGAAACTCCGGAATTCGATTCCGATACTTAATGAGAGCCCCAACAGTGGTGATGACTCCATCGTAGTATGCGGAGTCGTTTCACGCAAAATACGCCGAAGTTTGTTATACGCTAGGTTCGTCGCACGCGAGGTTCGCTATACACGAGGTTCGTGGTACGAGTACGAGGGGTTCGCTCTACAAGAGGTTCGTTGTAGGGAAAGTTCGTGCGCGAGATTGAGCGGCACTTGAGGTTCATATTGAAGACGAAGATGCTGCGCCTCTGGCCCCGGAAGAAATAAACTCAGGAATGACGCTCAGGGGGACGAGACAGAAAAGCTTAGCGGTACTGTCGCCGAAAACATGCGGAATGAATCTGAGTGGACTGAAGTCAAGAACAAGAACACGACGAGAAAGATTCACCGAATGAAGGCGAGCATCGAAGAAATCAGAGGGGGAGAAGGGCGTGTTCCGTGTTATCCTCTCGAGGAGATGAGTAGAGGAAAACTCGACTACAGGAAGAGCCTTCCCCCGAGAGCCTCCCGGCGCTATGCGGAGGAATCTCCAGACTCTTCCCGTCAGCGAGAGCTGCGTCGAGTGTGGGGTTGACACGATACAGGAGCCGAGACAGCTTCTTGAGATAAATAAGCTGCGCGTGTACTCAGTACTCTCCAGGAGTCCGGAGCTTGATCGGAACTGGAAACGTATCTCGCAGGTCGATGTTGGCTTCTCTGAGAGCGACATTCTTGAATCACAGAAAGATAAAGGTTCTCGAGGTCCGCGGAGAGAAAGTCTTTCGTGCTGGTGCTTCGGTGATCGAGAAACCCTCGCACCGGGTCCTTCTGAGATTCTCCGGACTTCCAACATCCGAAGTCTTCCTCGGATTTCGATCCTTCAGAGTGATCGTGGTCATGAATGCTGGCGGCCCGAGAACCTGCTGTTAAGGTCGTCGTCTAGGGCTAGGGCACGTTGACGCAGTGTACCGCAGTAGGGCCTCATGTAGGAATTGTGGAAAGACGGGTCACCTGGCAGCGGTATGCAAGAACAGCGCTCTATGTGAAAATTGGAAAGGTCTTCATGCTTCACAATCTAAAGCCGGTCCGGTCGATTTCCGTGGATACGCCAACGGGAACCGGAGTCAAGATTCATCTCCCTGGCTCGACGAAGATTCCAAAAACAAAGCGCAAGGAACTCCGAAAAGCTTACTTCATCGAAAACCCGGGGAGAAGAAGGCCTGCGAAAGCACTTTGATCGCCTGGCCCTGTAATCTCCATGCTGGAACTAATTTGCCCGTATGTGGCGGCTAGCCTTCGACAACTCATCGAATAAGTCGGTCCAGTCCCCCATCGGCTCTCGAACCCGAAGGCTCTTGGAACGTCACCACTCAACCTTTCATAGATCATGACGAATAATGACAAACGAAACTATCAAGTCGACGACTATGACATCATTAAGGACGCGGCTATCTGTGATGATATCCATACAGATGATCTCAAAAATGTATATTTTGATCTCGGGGACATATGCGCGATCGCACTTCCTCCGGAGAGACGTGACCGAATCTCGTAGATTTCAGCACTGACTCCAGACGCTTTGTGGATTGAGCAAGATCACTTTTTTGAAACGCTTTTGACCCGAGCGACTCGCTGACCGCTGACTCCTATTCTCCTCTGTCCGTGCGGTGCTGGTCGGGCTCGAATGAGGGAGCCCCGAGCGGACGCGAAGGGACCGAAGTCTCCCAGACTCAGATCGAAGCGCAAATATGACTTGCCTCTCCGGGAAGTATGAAACGCCTCAAGATACGGGTATCAGCGGGAAGGTTGGAACGACCTCCCTCGTAGAGGTGTCCGCAGATTTTCCGCTCTCGAACGTACGCCGAATCCGTCGGCCATATGACAGAGAAGGCTCGCCATCTTGTGTCGGCCGCCCCGCCAGCCCTGTCTACCCCGCGTCGGTGCGGCCTACGGAGCCCTCTTTGAGATACTCCAGGTGCAACTTCCGGCCTGACGGACATTTCGGCTCTCCCGAGACGTACCCAAGTGTCACCTGGTCACTGCTCTACGCCCTCGAAATAGACTCCGATACTCTCGACGTTGTAACTGTCTTCTCAGAGGTTCCGATAACTCGAACGAAAAAGGATGTCCTGATCGACTCACCGTGAACCAGCGAGCTTCGGGAATTGAGATTGTGAAAATCTGCTATCTCTGTTATAGAGCTCCTATCATGAACGTTCTGTACGAGTATTTCTGCAACTTATCTTGATTCCAAAGACAATATCAATGCCTGAAGACTTCTTCTCATCTAGAGGAAAGGGTCGCGATTGATCACGAGCCGCGGGGATCGGCAATTCCTCGGAGCCGGGTCTACGTCATCGATGGGCTGATGATCTTTCGAACAGCTGTGTGACACAGGTGAGTCGCAGAGGAATGGCTCTCCCCGGATGGATACCCCCTCACGCGGCTCGAGATCCTCTCTCAAAAATGTTGTACAGCATCCATGCTCGAGCTTAGAGGGAACGGATCCGCTCTGCCGAGTCCCGAGACTGATCGCGCGTCACGGCGAGGGGATCCCACTTGAAGCCGACACACGCGCGCTGAGCGGGGCGTGTTTAGGGTCGGTGCATGGATGAACAGAGTCCTGGGCCCGGGGAAAACACAGCGCGCAGACAGTGATAATGTTGGTGAGTCTCATGAAATCATTCACCCTATCTAGAATCATTCATCAGCGATAGAATGATAAATATCGAGGGGAGCAAATGGTCGACGGTTCTGAAACCTCAGGAGAACCTGGCGAGGAGGTGACTACGAAGAGGGTGATCTGCGATGCGGAACTTCTGTTTTCTATCAAACGAAGTTCGCGCGACAATCATTTCGAGGTGTGCTAGATCCAGAATTTGGTGTGGTTTCCACGTCTGTACAAGCTTCCTTGTTTCCAGTCGGACCGCGTAAGGGGAGGCGCTCTGATTTCGACTGGACTGACGATATTATCCATCTACTCATTTCTGGTCTTCGCTGTGGTGAGTGTCTCGAGGAGAATGTATATCTCCCTCCAACTCCCGTTTTCTCCCAGAAACGTAGACGAGAATTCTTACGGGACTCTTTGCGACGACTCTGCGACGAAGATTTGGAATCGCCCTCGCTCACGAACTCTGGCCCGGGCTCGCTGGAACTCCGTATCATATTTCGATTCCCATTCTAAGATTCGATGTTTACAGCCATTCTTCGATGCCAACCACCTGGTTCACGCTTACGTGCCCGGTCCACTCTACGTTTTCGGAATACCGGCTCTCATTTTCACCTTCAGTTTCGTGTATGCTGCCTTCTTCGTCGGGTACTGTTTGAAGAAAGGCGAGACACCCTTCTAGCCTTCCGCTCCTGCTGATCATTCGCTCCTTCGCATCTGAGCATACAGGATCCTGCACTCATAAGCTGCTGGAAGCATGTCGTCAGACTCTTCAACATTCACCCGAGAAGTCTGGTTGGACTCCCTGCGAGAACCTCTGGTCATCCACCAGGAAACGGTCAGCGACGTTGGCGGGGTCGTCTGGGACGGTGCCCTCGTTCTGGCAGCCTTCATGGCCAAGTAGGTTATACCCGCAGGGCCGGCATCGTTGTGCTGTCAAATATGAAACCCCGATCCATCGGACTCTATGCGTCGCTCGGAGCTTGACATCAGCGATAAGCAGAAATTCCTCTTTCCAGATTCAAAGCAGATTTCGTGAAAAACTCCACTGTTGTTGAGCTCGGATGTGGTACGGGGATCGTGGGTCTCGTCTGTGCCACCCTACCGGCGAAAAAAGTTGTGCTCTCAGACCTGTGTGCTATTCAAGCGTTGGTGGAGAAGAATATCCGACAAAACAGAGCGCTTCTGAAAGCCGAGTGCGTATTTATGCCCCTCGACTGGAATCACCCTGAAGACTTCGAACTGGCAGAGATGCCGAAGATCATCATCGCATCAGAGTGCGTGTATTATGAAGAGGCCATTGAACCACTCGTGGAGACAATGAAGGCTCTGAGTGGACCGGAAACTCGTACTTTTGTGTCTTTCGAATTTCGCCAACACGAGAAGAATCTGTCAGCTTTAAAGAAGTTTCTCAAATCGGCGAAGGAGTCTTTCGAGGTGAAGGAAATTCCGTACGAAGAGCAACATGAGGAGTATCGCAGCGAAGATATCAAGTTGTTATTGCTCCGCAGCAAATCGGCGTCGTGATTTCCTCGCATTCTGGCCCGAAAATTTTCTAAGGAGGATTTTGAGAATAAATAGGTCTTTTTTAATTATCCGAGAATGAGTTCTCCTCTGCATCCAGACATCAGACTCGTCGCCATCCTCGCGGCTCTGACCCTTCTATCTGGTATACTTCCGATGGCCGTCTCATCGCCAGGATGACGCCCGATACTAAGGCGCTATGAAACCGTCCCTTTCATGACTCGCAGACTCGCCAACTGGTGGATCAACTCAGTCCGCCGAATGGATCTAATGCTGAATAGGGAGGCTGCACTGCTCGACACTGAATTCGCAGGCTCACAAGGGAGTGGTTCAGAGGTCTCGAGTCCTTCCTGGCCCCGAGAAAAACGATCACGAGGGCCTGAATTTCCGCCTGAGAGTCATTATTTCTGAAGAGAAAGAGTTCCCGAGCTCTGATGGCAGATCTTTATTTACACGTTATACAATCTTACTTCTCTCGATCACCACCATCCGTGACCACCTCCGTATCCTCCGAGACTTCCACCGTGGCCACCGTAGCTATGGGAGATGATGGGAGCGCTGTGGACCGACACGACGGGCTTCGAGACGTACGAGATGGACTTCACCGGTTTCGAGATGTAGGAGACGACGGGTTGTTTCACGTAGGTGGTGGATACGACGGGAGTTTTGACGTAAGACACCTTGGCGATGCTAGCGTGAGAAATGTGTCCGTGACCAAAACTGAGTCCTCCTCCGTACCCGTGGAGATCACCAGCCCAAGCGGCTCCGATCAAGGCGGCGATAAGAACGATGACTTTCATATTGATGCTTTTGCGATTGGCTTGTGATTGCTATGGGGTCCCACGTTGTCTTTTTATTCAGATTTCGCAGGCGAGGGCAACCGACGTTTGCCAAGGTCTTGGGAGAGTTCCGACCCCCAGGCAGGGTTCCACGAGCCGAGATCAGAGCAGGAGAGAAGCATTGACAGAATGGAATCGGAGAAAGTCCTGACACTTTTTGTCGCCCGTTCTGATTCAATCTGGAAATCCCGGTTCCATAGCCCTGATTCATCGATCGAGTTGTCTTCGACTGATTCTAGACCGGGATCTTGCGATGCGAGGGTACGCGAAAATCTTTCAAAACACGGGAGAAAGTCGCAGCTCCTCGAATCAGCGCACCAAAGGCTCGGTTTCTGCGCATGTTCTGGCGAACTTAGAAAGCTCCAGACTACCTCAAGACTTATGACATGTGTATGTACATCATTAAATCAGCAGTCGACCATGAGGATTTAGAACCCATGTGACAGAGTGATGAGTTCGTTTCTTGTCCATACTCTCGAGGCTTGCGCTTGGATCGATGAACTCTCTCGAAGCGAGCAGAGTCCGTTTCCCCTCATTTCATTCCTAGACAGGTTTCTCACCCCGATTAGCAGCTGGGGAGCTTGTGTCCGCGAACACTTCGGGCTCCATGAACGATTGCTCGAAGTAGCGCGTACGAAACGAGTACATAGCACATCCCAATACTTTTCCCTTCGAAAAATACGAGACCATGGACAGATCAGGAGCTTAGAGCAAGATGAGTGATGCTCGTGGCGTCTATGGGTAGCGAAGTCTCGAATACACAGGACGTCATGTCGAGGCGCGGAAGACAGATCCGAGCTACAGATGTCCTAGATCTCCCACGAAGCCATAGCGTACCAGTCTTGCGTGAATCGCAGAGTCATGTTTCGCATACTTATACTAGTCCCAACGACGGGTCGTTGAGGGGATTCCGGGCAAACGACGCAAACGAATAGGTTTCCTGACGAATTTTTATTTACAATCTCTACAAAACGGGTTGCAAAATCTTCACCATCCGTGACCGCTGCCGTAACCTCCGAGTCCGAGACCGTGGCCACCGTAGCTATGGGAGATGATGGGAGCGCTGTGGATGGAGACGACGGGTTTCGAGACGTACGAGATGGATTTCACCGGTTTAGAGATGTAGGAGACGACGGGCTGTTTCACGTAGGTGGTCGAGATGACGGGAGTTTTCACGTACGACACCTTGGCGATGCTAGCGTGGGAGACGTGTCCGTGGCCGAGACTGAGACCACCTCCGTATCCGTGGAGATCTCCGGCACAAGCGGCTCCAATGAGGGCGGCGACGAGAACGATGACCTTCATAGCTGATTGTACGTCTTGATTGAACCAAAACCTGTGGTTGCCTATCAACCACGCGCAGCATTTATGGTCTGCCGCCGGGGAGAGGGGAGCTCGACTCATGGCGAGGAGGGGGTCTGAGAACTTGAGCTCCGCCGTCATTCTCAAGCGACGACGCGACATCCTCCCGATGGGGTTTCACGTTTCCTGCCGATTCGAAGCCTCCGAGTTTGCAACGACCATTGGACTCTGCAGGAGCCAATCGATCAGATAACGATTGCGTCAGGGAGCACGAACTGATGTTACCAACGGAGCTGGGACTTCCGTGGAACATCCTCCCTCCATGGATTGTTTCCGGGATGAGCTGCGATGGTATACAGGGCTCAAATGATGAGGCGAAGGTGCGCGCAAGAGTTCATGGGCTGATGCGCTCTCCGAGTCATGAGGCGCTTGCAAGGGACGGCGATGGCTTCGAGCAATCCGACAAGGCTCCTCGAGTGCTTCGTGAATGAACTGGGAACGTGAATGAACTGCGCCGGTTCGACTTATCTAGGTCAGCATTTTGCCAGACGAAGTCTTGGAGAGATCAGGGGATCCCCACGGGTGCTCTCGAGTTCGACACCGAGCGGGAATGACCGTCTCCTTCAGAGTGCCCCGAGCCCCCAGGCGAGTGTAAACCCTATTCCGAAAATACATGCCTCCTCGATCGTTGAGCCTTGCCGGATATTCCTCGGAAACTTGCCTCATGCGACTAAGCTCTCACCACTCTGAACCCTATCGGATACTTACGACTAACCTCACCGACCTTACCGGTGAAATTGCATGAATTCCGAGAGGAAATATTGCCGGCAGGCTCGCTTGGAATAAGTCTCATATTGAAAACATCCCCATCCAAACTTTCAGGATCATTATCCATATCGGCGATAAGGGGATTTATTTTTATGCAAAGATGAAGTACGCTCACTCATCACCTCATGAATGAGCATCCCACACATTGACTGGGTGCCGGTTTGCTTAAGAACGGTTCCAATGAAAGTGCGGCCGCGGTCGTCCCCGTTCGCATCGAACGAAGGCCGAAAGCAAATTACCGTGCATGCGCCATGGAACTGTGTGACGATAACTTGTTCGTTGGCCATAAGCATTACATGATCGGAACGGTCCGTGATTCACTCGAACCAGAAAAAAATTCGACAATCAGTCATTCTGTGAAGAGATCGCCGTTCATTAGGGACCTTCTTAGTCACTTCTAGGACGTTATTTGGGACCTCTCCGTTCCATTGACATCCACGATATCAAATTAGGGATTTAGGGAGCGGGAGGAATATGTATATGAATTAGAGATCGAACTTTTTGGTTCGTCACGTAATCACGAGTTCGATCTCCCATAGCCGGTACGTTTCATAGCTCATGGACTAACATTGTCACGGCAAGCCGTTCCACACGAAGTCTGCCAGATGGCGAGAGCGTGTTATGCGTGGTTCCGAAAAGAGTAGGTTTAGATTTGCCTGGTACAGAAATTGGTTTATTTTATACGATTGATATCAGTGAGTGATCCGAGCCGCGAACCGTGCGGCTGAGGTTACAGCGTATCGCGTTCCGAATCACGGCCTACCGACTGACAATGAGAAACAGAGGTATCCCCCAAGGCTATCCAGATGGAAATCCCGTCGCTTGCTATACGCCAACGCCACATATTCGTACCAGCAGCCATGAAATTCTACATATTTCGAACGGATAGTTGGATTACTCTCTACACCGAAGGGGTCGCGCTTGAATGATTACAAAAAACGGATATCATAGTTTTGTCGTGTCTCCGCACTTCAGATTCTCGATTCTCTCTCCCCACCGATTCTCACTATTGCCGAGCGAATTTCGTTTGATACACCTCCGAGCTCGATTTGCAGTCCCCACACATCGACTGATACTTCAAAGAGCTTGACGAGTTCAATTCAAAACGAAAAGCAGCCCCCGACTCAGCGAGTTCGTCACTAGATAGGGAATGTCTTCCGGAAGTTTTTACTCATCTGCTACCGTGGGCGGCGCTCCACATCCGTCACGACAAATACTGTGCTCGTAAGTGAGCAGATGTTTTCGCACACAGCAGGTACAGAGTTATAACCTTCTTCCGGAATGTCAACTTCTGCTTCAATTGTCCATCGAGGCAATCGGCCGGCTTTCCGTACGGAGAAGTGGTCCGAAAATAGTTCTCTGAACATTTCTGGACAACAACTAGAACGATTCTCATGACGCTCGGAGGTCAAGGACGAGCAGTACAATAGCTGACGTCCCGGAAAGCGGGCTGCTCGCCGGATCAGCGAGATGAGACGCAAGGAATCCCCTCCCAAGACGATTTCACAATCTCTTTAGAGATTGAACAGATTACGATCGGGATGCACCCATCTGAATATCGGAAGCCTGTTTTTTTGGCCAATTATGTGTTTGCAGAACGTGGTATTAGATGCGATTTGCAAACATTCTGTATCGGCTCGGCGAAGTAGCTTCACGCTCAATTTGTCGAAAACGACCGCTCGGTATGTAAGGAAGATCAAACCCATCGCTCGTCGAATGTAGCGGCTTCGTTAAAAAGGGGTATCCTACGTCGCGGTTGACGGAGAGCTCGATTGATCATCGAGCTACCTATCGCGTATTCATCAGTAAGGTAGAAAATGTAGTTCCAGAAACGGCGCTATCACTTTTTATGATGATCGTGTCTTTGATCTGTAGAATGACGGGCGAACATTTTTATCTCTTGACGCCGGCAGCTAAGTGAGCTTATTCCTTTCGGTTCACGCGATTTGCCTTCTACATCGCATGAAGCCCGTGCTGTCTTTCTGGCGGCGGTTCCGAGCCTCGACTCGAACACCGGCTACAACTACCGCCGGCAACCACGGAATTATCTTCTCATAAAAGTGAAAGTTCTAAGGCGCGACAGAAAGTTGACCCAGAAACACGAAAATAGAAGTGACCTTGGCGGCATCATATGGAATCTCTCAGACCAACTCTCATCTAACTGTGTGTGAGGCTCTGAGCTGAATCCGATAGTGACGTCGGTGACGGCTGACGACGAATAGACAGACATGCTAGTCATGATCATCATCACATATCGGCGCTCGTGTATCTTTGCGGACATCGTCGCGGCCTGGGAGGAAAACCCCTCAACCATTACCAAGTTCATTTTTCTGGTTCTGTTCTGTTCATTCTCCTCAAGCTGACCAGAACCCGCTCGGTTCAGCCCTGAGATCCGCCACGTCGCTCGATGCGACTGAAGTTCCGCGGAAGGACTTCTGCAAGTCTAAGTAAGATCCGCTCCTAGAGTGATTCGGATCCAGAGAATGACATCATGTGCAGTCTATTTTCGTCAGACCAGCAGAAGTCACGCGATCCGAAAAGTACAATCCAATTACTCTTGCCAAGTGCATATAATAATGCAAACGCGTTTTCTATTCACGACCTGATCGAATTCTCTTCGTCCCGTCACCTTCTTCGCGAGGGTCGTCGCGAGCGAGACCGGGGCGTACATTATTTCAAACTGCTCAATCGTCATGATTTGACATACTCCATCCTTCGGGATCCGGTCCAGATCGAAAGACTCCCACGGAAAACAGGGCGTGCCATTAGACGGATAGCCGAGATTCACTCAAGGGAATCAGCGAAGTCTCCGCCGGAGCAACAGGGAAAGTCTCTTATGAGCGAGTTTTCTCTGTCCAAGAGATGTCCGACAAGGGCTCATACGAGACCAGAAATCCGGAGAAGTCTTCTGTTCACGGAAATCCCTCATTCTTAGCCTCGTTCCTTTATCGGTTGTGTGGTGAATCCTTCTCGAAAAGAAGGCTCTCTCTTCGACATGCGGATTTGCTTTGGGGAGACTTTTCAATTGTCGCGAACTACGCTTTCGGGATGTTTTCAGAGCAGGAATAATTCTGCTTTGCTACCTCCGCATCATTGAATTTGATGAAAACCGCATTTCTATATTGAGGAAAGTTGATCGATGCCTTACTTTCTTGGTGGTCGAAGAGCAGGAATGATATCTGTCATCAGTCTCCACTAGAGATTGGAGCTTGGGGCAGAATGCCATAAGTGCCTGGAAATGCTTGGAGTCAAGGTTTCCCGAGCACCATGCCTATTCCTGAAACTCGTGAAACTTTTTGCTTTTTTTAAACCTCATCGGACATTTCTGTTGGGAAAGTGCTTCTGGGATAGGGTTTCCGCATTCGACGGCGAAGTCGCGACCCCGAGTGCACAGCTTAGTGAGCCGGAGTGCGCAATGGAAGGGGTGTTCGACCCCCTTTTCTTTTCCTATGGCAAAGCTCCTTTCCCTCCGACCCTTAATCTCATGGATGGGTGACGGAAAGGAGGGAATGGACATGAATGGGTGGCAGTGTGCTCCTAACTTCATGATCTCCGTCGCCATCCGTCCCCCAGTGTAAGCCGCTCAGATTCCAGGTTCTGCGCTCGGATCACCTGGCCGTCCTAAAGTGGTCCCCATTAGAACGGCCCGGAAGATTCCTTGGATCCATAATCCACTCCGCGGTTGACATCATATTTTATCCCATGTAGATCCTCAAGTCAGCATGTCCGTTCCGTGGTGGCAGATCCCAATGAGTCTCCTCTCATGGATTTTTCAAAGTTTCCACAGTCAGAAGCAATTTGTATACGGAGTAGTGTCGTGTTGTTAGGACCGGGATTGGGATTGGAGGGGAGTTGGGATTTCGCTCCCCTCGGTCAATAGCTCCCAAGCTCCGCAGCGGGAGTCTGATCCCCGCAGACTTGGACCCCGGCTCTCTCCATCTCCCAAATCGGGAATCGCAGATATTTGCGTATTGATATATTGGCAAAGAGAACAGAAAGCCAAACTGGTCGAACGATCCGTCGAGCTTCGCCTCATGATCGATTCTAAATTGTCGGGAATTCTGCCTGCCGCAGTCCCGATCAGAGATGCTCCTACTTGGTAAGCCAATACTGAATATCAATACTTTTTGAAATGAAATCGTGAACCACCCAGCCGGCGAGTCGTAGGCCAGTGATAACTTCGACCATACGGACGTCTTATCGAGCCACGCTAAGCGGATTGCGGTACTACGTTGGTAAACAGCAAGTCGGTCTTGTTTTCGTAGACACGAACTGGATTCAGGACATTCGGGTTAAGGGAGACCGATTTGGAGTTTTTGCTAACCAAGTACTGAAATTAGTGGGGGAACGGATACAGTAATCGAGCTGCCGCCTCATCCCGGGGTTCATCTTTCAGGAGTTCGACAAGAGGTCCATGGTAGAGAGGCCAGTCCTTCAAGGCAAGTCTGGAACTCTCGCGTCTTTGATCTCACCGTCATAAGATACAAAAAAAATAGGGTCTAGAATAGCTCCCGCACGCTGTATCTTCCGAGGGGTCGCAACTGTGTTCCGCCCTTGACGCCTTGCAGCGACCCTCGCCGGTAGAGCATTTATATAGCGGAGGAAGAGTTTGAGTCAGCATCACAACCCAATCGCAAAAGCATCAACATGAAAGTCATCGTTCTTATCGCCGCCTTGATCGGAGCCGCTTGTGCTGGTGATCTCCACGGGTACGGAGGAGGACTCAGTTTTGGTCACGGACACATTTCTCACGCTAGCATCGCCAAGGTGTCTTACGTGAAAACTCCCGTCGTATCGACCACCTACGTGAAACAACCGGTCGTCTCCTACATCTCTAAGCCAGTGAAGTCCATCTCGTACGTCTCGAAACCCGTCGTCTCCATCCACAGCGCTCCCATCATCTCCCATAGCTACGGAGGCCACGGTGGAGGATACGGAGGATACGGAGGCGGTCACGGATGGTGAGACTTCTGAATGATGTACTCCCTGAATGTAAATAAAAACTTGTCCTGGGAGTCGAGATCTTTCGTTCATGCATCTGCAGATACAAAGCGAGCGATTCTCATGTCTTCGAAATCGAAATCCGAAACAGCGGTCATCTTGAAGTTTCCTCTCGAGCATGTCGAGGGAATCATCTTCGGTAGCGGGTGGATCTCGAGCGCGGGCCGCACAACATGTTGAGGAGGGATGGGATGCGTTGCGGGAACTCTAGCGACTGATTTCGACATAGCCCTCCTCACCGGGCCGGTTCTCGCAGCTCGGAGCCGAGACCGTGCGTACGCGGGGCTGACTCGAGCGGATGACGAATTCTGGAGTTCTGAACGAGCGGGTACTTCTTCGAGAGATCGGTTTCGCTTCCAGTCTTGAGGACGTAGGTAGAGCTCGCATTCTCTCATTCTCTCAGGCCAGACACTAGATTGAGATGATAAGGGACCGTTATCGATAGAAATGAGTTTTATCCACTTATTCGGCTCTCCTCTACTCCAGACCCGAGGAGGAGAGAGAGCGAGGATCCCGGAAAACATATTTCTTACGATCAAAGTTGTCCATTGCGTCCCGTCAGCGGAAAATGGGTGACAAGGTTCCGTCCATCGTCAAGTCGCAGCCGCGAAGAATTTCCTCTCCAAGAAAATTACAGCCCGGTAATTCGGCCGGCGATTTTGTTCTTTCTGCCCTTGATCCTTAAGCTGTGAAATTTCTCCCTTCGCTTGGCTAGGAAGCTCTCGGATCCGGATGTCTCAATTTAGATGGAACAGGTGGAAGTCGACCAATGTTATTGTATGGTTACGAGGTGATCTTAGCAGAGACTCCGTGGCGTCCGTGAAGCGCCGATTCTTCGTTTCGGCGAGCGCGAGTCCGTCTCTCTCTCCCAGAAGAGTCCGTCGGCGTCCTTCCAGTCTCTCTACATTCGCTTGCTTGTGGTGTTTAGAGAACGAGAAGACCTCGACCCGACACCACGTCCTCGACCGCGGTTCGAAAGACTCCTCTGTTTTCACTGAAAAGTCCAAACTCGATTGTGAATCATGGGCTCGATAGTTGTACCGGACAGCGACGTCAAAGCTTTCCGGGAAAAATTGTTCCACGAGTTTCGCTCGTCTCCAGGTGAGCTACGTGTTCGATTGTCCACCATCCTGATACGCGCCTATGGGAGATTTCATTTCGACCATCGAAATTACTGTTTCTAATTTTGACAGAATAGTGAAAAGTTCAGGTTTGATTAGGAGACTCGATCAGCGTCTTGCCGATCTCCGCGCACTTGGTTGCTGTCGCACCTTACATATGCGTCCGTAACCAAGTCCCTCCGAATAGTGCGCCATCCGCAGCAAGGCTCTCGCCGCGCTTACTCGGCTCTGGGACTGAGGCATACCGTGTATCTACCCCGGTTACAGGGAGCGCCTGCATCCGAGCCTCATACGAAACGCCGCGAATCGGCCCGCGGCGTTCTTTCCAGAACTGTTGGGACTCGACCTACTCGGGTCGCATCCATGGTCTCGACAAGTCCTCCCGACATCGGACGGCGCAGTTCCGACGCAGCCGGAGGAGCGAAGCTCTGAATTTCCCATGATACCACTATCTTTGGTGACATGGTTACCGGTCGCGGTCACTCCAGGCTAACCGCGAGCCTTGCTTAGCGTGACGAACCATCCCAGCCACAAGCGTTTTGCAGAAAAGGCTCGCGAGAGTTCTATTCAAGGGGTTGACGATTCCGCGGCTTCATCGCTCGTGGCAGGGAGGGATCGCGTTCAAATGATCGCGGCCGAACGGTTTCGACTGGGAGGTGAGCAGGCGCTCAGTCGGAGTTCCTCGAAGGCTCAGCTGTCTCTTGGGGTAGCTGAGCATCGATCCTCGGCTGCTTCGATTAGAACCGCGCATTGACGACATCGTTCTGACGTCGAAGACGCGGACAAACAATGTGGTCAATTGGATAACATTGGACTTGAACGGAATGGGTCGGGGGAATTTCCATAATTAATGAAGAAGGCTTCGAAGCTGATAATTGTAAAAATCAGATCTCAAGACTCAAAATCTCAATCGAATTCCCGGAGCTTCATTGAAATCTATTTCCCCCCCCCCTTTGCCCGTGATCGGAAGATCGGAAGGCGCTTTCCCTCCCTCTAGTCTTCTTCTGTCTGTTATAAAATGTCCTCTTCTTCCTCTGTTTCAGAGATGTATTATCCGGATGATGTGACAATGATTGAAGCGGATGATGAGCTTTGTCGTCGGTAAGCTTCCCGCGATCGCGTATGCCAAGACTGTGGGCTTCCTCTAGTATCGTCCTCTTATGCCCGAAAACTCGGAGGGAGTCTGTGTCCGAGTAGCGAAAAAAATACCCGCTTTCCAGGTACTTGAAACACAAGCGTCGAGAAGGCTTGGATGGAGCCTTGGAAATGGCCAAAAAAAGTCTCAGGTGGCGGAAAGAGTTCGGTGTACGGGGTGAGCACGATTGAGCGTTCGAGGCATCGACTTTATTGCTCACCAGTATCTTTCTTCGAGATTCGCCGGCACACTCAGAAACTAAGGAACATTTTACAGAACTCAACGAATACAATATCTTCCAACTCTATCTCAACGTTGGCTGCTTCATACCCTTCAAAAAGGACAAGGAGGGTTTGCCCTGCAGTGAGTTCACGTTCATTTCTTCGTGTTCTTCCCCGATGAAGAAATCTCGATGGCCTGCATAGCTGCCGCTCACCGGACAGCATTACACCGACTCCAAATGGAAGTCGCGAGCTCATATGCCGAAAAAATTCCAGTTATTTTCCGCACAAAGCTTCACCGGAAGAATGTTGCTCGGTCGGAGGACATGAAACGCTACATAATTTTCTGGGTGGAATACTTTCTCTACGTACGCAAGAACTCACGCCTGAGTTTCGTCTTCGACTGCACGGGCGCCTCCTACAGTTGTACGGTACGTACGTGTTCTCAACAATCACTCTTCCTGCACGAGGCTGCGATTCGAAAATCGAGAAGAAAAACGATCAGACTAATTCAGATTGCGCCAACCGTTCCTTGCAGGACTTCGACCAGGTTAAGTTCATCATACAAATATTCAACGAGTTTTATCCTTGGGCTCTGGGGAACGTCATCGTTTATAATATGTCCTGGCTGTTCACAAGTACGTACTGATCTTGAGCTATGTGAACCGAAACCAATCCCGAGATCACTCTCTCTGTTCGGCTTGAGTGAATCGAGAATTTTCTAATGAATTTGTCTCCAGCCGTATGGGCCGGCATCCGGGCACTCATCCCTGCTGACGGAGCTGACCGCTTCAAATTCTGCCACGGGGCAGAGATATATGAGCTCATAGACCGTGACAATCTCCCCGAATTCATGGGGGGTCGCGTGCCAACTCCATTCCGAGAATTGACACTCGAAGAAATCGAGGCCGTCCCCACCGATCCCGAAATTGTAAGCGTTGAGAATTCCTATGTCGTCCATTTCGCTCACGCTCGGAGAATTCCATAACGAGTCCTCTGTATTCTTCTGGAACAGGAAAAGATAATTTTCACAACCCCGGCGATCGAGAAATTCTATCAGCAGAATTTCGGCCTCTTCACGAAATCCCCGCGGACGTTCGATGGATCGAATCACGATAGCATCTTCGTTTGCAGGCGAGTACCATCTCCTCGATTCCCCTCCTGTAATCGATTCCCCGCCTTGATTTCGTCCCTGGCTCGAGAATGAAGACTTCCCGTCCTCAAAGATTCTCTCTTTCTCGTTGCAGCCCGGACGACACTTTGACGTTCGAAGCCTGTGGAAATAGTCGGATCGCGAGTCTGACACTCACAAATACTTCTTCTGACGCCCGTCCAATCGCCTTCAAAATGAGTACTAATCGCCCGGATGCTTACACCGCTGATCCGCGCGAAGGCATCGTTCGTCCTGGAGAGACCATCCGAATCACGATAAGCATAAAGAGAGGTGGGAGTCCCGCACTGAGGAAGTTTTTTTTGTGCTGGGAATTCCACCGGGTGTCATTTAATCATGCTTGCGAATTCTCTTCGAAAGGTGGCAGAACAGACTCAGACAAGGTCCTACTGCAAGTGATTCCCATGGATGACCGACAGAAGAATATCAAGGATCTTTTCAAGTTCTCGAACCGCAATCTGATTGAGCAGAAGTTGATTCGATGCGGAATTGACGAAGGAGAGGAATCGGATTCCGCGATAGCGGGAAGCGAGGCTAGTCGCAGATCCTCCACGGGGAGCACGTCAGTCGACCGAACGGTGAGGAAACTCCCCTTCGATCCCGCTCTCCCGACGTTCAGTCATTCAATGAGAAATGGACCCTTGAAAGTAGTATTGTATATTTTTTTACAGCTCACAGAGTTGATAGCTCTGACGGATCGGCAGCATAGGGCTATCATCGGACTTTATTCTCTTCTGGTGTTGTGTGTAGCCGTGATCGTGAAGCTGCTGATCTCGAATTCGGGCACGAAAACTCTTTCGTTCGCTTGAAAGAAAATACGAAACGTACAGACGAAGGTCTCATCATGGAACCTTAATGAAGGTGGAGAATGAACGGGTTCGGGCAACGACCAGACCAGCGACCGGTTCCCTTCTCCTTTTGTAAATATGCATCCGGTCTCAGCGCACCGCGAGCTTACATCGATGGATCCCGAGAACCTTCATGAGCAGAGATTAAGGAGAAATACAGAGGTAGAGGAGTACTGGGTAATCGAAAAGAACCTCAGATATCGATGCCCACGGCTGCGGTGCGGACCGCATCGGCGACCGTGCCCCGGGCGGTCCCTGAATTCCGAAAACGACGCCATCTCCTGCATGAGTGACGAAGTCGTCGGCTAGAATTCTTGGGAAGATGCACAATTTTCGACTTCCGTCCTGGGCCTCACATCACTGACCGAGGCCCGAAAACGTCAGGTCATCGCCGAGTAGCTGACGCGTCGCAGATATCTATTCACGGAGAACCCGTCGACGGTTTCCCTCACGTCTTCGACAAGAGAGACCAGGAGCGGCATCCTTCATCGACTCGCAACTCGCGCTTCGAAAGTGGACGGGATGCGCAAGCGCCTGCGCACAGCAGCGGTGGTCATGGCCTTTCGGAGATGACTTTCTGTAATCTTTCGCTTGGAATGTTCGATTTGTAGTATCTATTCTGAATTAGAGAGGGACATGAGCCGAGGAATAAATGTTCATTGAATTACGCGTGACTAATGAACAGTGACGGACACGAATTAATTCTGCTCACCTGTTGGTCAGACTCCCTGACATGATAAACGATTCATCGGATTCTCAGAACTACCTTGGGGTTCTTGACCGTTTCGATAAAGATTCCCTCTGGCAGCCCTCTACCATGAAGATGTGGATTTCGAGATAGGTGGACAGGGTTTGAACGAAGCCGCGAATTATCTGCATCCGGGACGAGCTTCTGTAGGCTGGGTGCCCGACACATGCGGGGAATGAACAAAAGTATTAGGTGAAGCTTCTTCAGAAATGAACGATGCAGAGGTTTCTGCTCGGAGCGTGAGCTTCCCTAGGGATGATAATTCCTTCGTGATGGATAGTAGAAATAATATATCAGTTTCCCGTGATGATTGAAACGCATTGATAATAATAATTCAGAAGATGCTGAGGAAGGAATCGCACCGGTAATCCACTCTGAGGATTCCTCGACCTCCTATTCCGGACTCGCTCCCCAATTTAAAACTTGGGAAAGTTTCAGATGCAGCGCTCACCATCGCTGCAACGTCTTTCGTAGAGGGGGCTGCGAGTTTTTTAGTGACAAGCAGGATGATTGAGTGGGAGCGAATGGGCGAGAATAGGACGAGAGAATGTCTAGTTCCCGTTCACGGTGTGGTGGAGAATCGTGAAGATCGGAAATCGACACGGAATCTAATGTGCATGCCCTGATTTTGTCGGTGAACCCTCGACTCTGACGAGGTTGTCTCGCCATCGGGGAGGGGAGCTTCCTCATGGTTCATAGTTCATGGTTTTATTGATCCATATGTTCCTGCGATACTATATCACGTCCGGCGAGATCTTCGGAAGCTCACCTGAACTCGACTTATCCCGAAGAATAACGAAAACCTCGAGGGAGGGGAGGCGTAGCATCCAGTCCGTCAACAAACCATCGAGCAGGACTTTCTGGGTCCTGATCGAATGAAATATTGCCGCCAGACCCGAAAAGCTGAGATATGTCCGTGAGTGTCCGAAAAAAATGATTCCGGAGGAGGGTCGAGGGCGGCTCCAATTGCGGAGCCAATTAGGTCAGTGCATGATGGAAGATGAAGCACCCATCCCCTCAACAAACGTGAAGTCTCCTTGGAACGGAAAGTTCACCGAGACGGATGGAGCTCCTCTAGGAACTCCCTCACCCCAACTGTCGAGCAAAACCAGGAAGTATTTGCACTTCTCGTACTGCAGGGATCATCAGAAACGAATATACATTTCGACTCGCTCACGGAAAAACTACAGAGAGAGGCCTCTCGGTCTGTGGATTTCCATCAAGCTTCTTACGAGGATCATCCTGTGATCATTCTTGACCCTGTAACCGAGGAACCTGTTGAGGAGAATGGGGAGGAGAAGGGGTCGGAACCAGAATTCATTAGATTTGGATCGAATTCATTTCTATGCCATAGCGCCGTTCTCCCACTGAATCTCGCTTCCGCGGAAATCTTATCCAGGGCGATATTGGATGACGATCAAGACTTCAAAGCCGAGGAGCCCAAGGGTCGGAAGAAGACTAGGAAAAAACTCAATTCGATCATCGCATTCCAAGCTGAGGCGAAAGCCACGGCGATTCTCTTGTTCGACTATTATAAGCGATTCCGAGGGCTCAACGTGAATTGCACGCCTCGACAGTACTTCTGCAAAGAGCAGGTGAATACGATTTGAGCTGACAGTAGTTCCTACGAGTTATCGACAATGACTGTGCGGAATAGCCTTCTCAGACCTGATGAGTTTCCTTCCGGCAATTTATGCGACATAGGTGCTCAAATGGGTCTTCAACATCATGAGCTGCATTAAAAGTGGGACTCTCACGGATGTTCTGGGACGAGAGATGTTCATAAATCTCTACAACCTCTTCGTAGCGAATTCGGTCGTTGATGTCACGGTCACGAGGTACTTCTACCATCTCCTCGCTCTACTGCACGCAAGTATTCCGATGAGTTCTCAGGCTCGAAACTTTTGGCTCAAATATGCTCTCCGGAAAACGAGGAACCGAAATCTCTAGGCCTCGTTCGGTGAACTCCAGAGTCTCCTCGAAAGCACTGGGTGCAAGCAAATCGACTACACTGTCCTCCTGGAACACCTGGGAGCGATGATTCGATTTGCGAAATTGGAGCTCCCACCCGGGGTGGAGCATTTTCGTCCGGTACGAGTCCTGGGAGCCGGGGCTTTCGGAACTTGTTTCAAGGTCCAACACGTGACGAGTGAGCTCGAGTCGAGTCCCCATTCGGAAAGTTGCGATTCACCGTGCCGTCGAAACCATTGATTTCATTTTTGTTTTTCTTCGCTCAGCCGGGAAATTCTATACTTTGAAAGTGGTTCCAGCCACAGCTTATCCGACGATGGAGCACATCGTGGCCGATCGAATTTGCGCCACAGTTGTCAAGCATCCGATGGTCGTGTACTACCTCGCATGTTACCCCGTGGCGCGATATCATGTGTCGATCATGGAATACGTCGCAGGCATCGATTTGCAGAAAGGTAGGAACACGATCCACGGGAGGAAGTCTTGTAGGGTTCGTGAAGAAAACAGATCATCCGCCGCTGATCTGTCCCTGCCGGGGACAAGTATTATTTATTATTGATTGTTCTAAGAATTATAATTATTATTATTATTTGATTGGCACCTCTAGCAATGCCGATCGTCGAAGATTTCGGAGTCGAGCGGACGCGACTCATAGCGGCTCAAATGGTGGCCGGACTCCAGCATATGCATTATCGGGGTCTCATGCACCGTGACGTCAAGCCTGGCAACATACTCCTCACGAGCACAGGGAAGATCAAAATTATTGACTTTGACACGGCAAAGATGGGCTTGGCTTTGAGTGCGAAACGATTCTGCAAGTGAGTTGATTTCTAAGTCATGGGATCTGGTCCTTCTGATCTACAAGAAATCAAATGATCGCATGATCGAATAGATGACCTTGCCTTCACCGCAACAAGTCTTCACTTTGCAAAGTTCATTCTTGGAGAGAGCCGCTGGAGAGCATAGAGATAAGGAAGTGGCTGGGACCTTTCTGTATATGGCGCCTGAAATTCACGAGCGTCGCCGCTATGGGAGAGCTTCGGACTGGTGGTCTCTCGGTGTGCTCCTATTCCGTATAGTCGAGAGGCGGATGCCCTTCTATGGGAAAACGGAAGAGGAAATCAGAGCAGCAGTTTTGGGAAGCTCGGTTAAATTCCGAAAAGCGGCAAGAAAAGGGGAAGAATACGAAAACGCTCGTGATCTCATAAGCGCTTTGCTGACGAAAAAACCCGTGGAACGACTAGGGTCCACGTCGTTGGATGAAATCATCACGCACAAATTCTTCGAAGATCTCGACTGGAACCTCTTGAGGAAAAAACGGGTCTTCGAAATTCCTCTGATCCACGATCTTCTGAAGGAGAACTCCATGAGTGCACAGAGAACGGGGAACGCTAAAAGCGATACAGTATTCGAGCCCGAAATTCTGTATGGTGAGCTCGTCTTAATTTCCTTTAATCCGCATCCGTACTCGGCTGTATTCCGCGGTCATTGTTCTGCGGAGTGTTGAGCCCGCTGGCGAATGCGACCCTATGATTCTTCATGGAGGGGTTCCAAGTTTTCTCACGAAGCTAGACGGAGCCTCTCTTCGAAAAGCTCCCAAGTCATACCTCGGCCTTTGACTTCGCGCTCCGGGAATTCCGGAGAACTCCTCAGACCCACCATTGGAACCATTCCGGTAACGTACGTCATTCCGCCTGTACGCTTCAGATCAGCCCATAAACACTTCGAACATGGTCCTAGTCTTCACGTCTACATCCGAACAATCTGCTGCTTCGAAGGCCCCCGTGCTCGAGATCACTGTAGACGAGTCGCATCCATGTCCGAGATCCACGCAGTCCTTGAAACGATCGGAAGCCGAATGCTTGAGAGTTGTCTATCACACCGATTGGAATTTGGATTTGAAATTTGGCATCGTACGCGGAGAAGACAGTCTGACGTTTCCCATTATCAGGAAAATGGCTCCAACGTACTCTGAGGTGAACGATGATTTTCAGATTTATCAACGGGATCGGGCGGATTGTGGTGATTCGAGCCAGACGTCTGTCGCTAGAAACAATTCTTCGCAGGTATCGATGTTGGTCGAGGGAGACATACTCATCAAGATCGACGACCAATCCGTTGTGTGTGCGCCGCTGAGGAGAGTGCAGGCGTTGATAGCCGTTCCGGGTCATCATATTTTACAAGTTTCGAGTTCGAATCCATTCCGAGTCTACGGCAGAATTCTGAAGTGCCAGCCATTGCTGAAAACCATGCGGACCTTCAATGCATTACTGGTTGCACCGACGTGTACTGCGCCCAAATCCAGGCGAAGAAGGTGAGGACCGTCGGCTCAATCCAGTTGACCAGCGGTCGGAGGCCTGCAGTGCTCGCCCCGATATGAGTCAAAGCCTGTGACGACGATTCCAGGTCAGGGCGTCCCTCGGACGAGGACTTCATCGCCGTCCGACAAGTATCGACCAAGCCCTTCCGAGGTCGAACGTTTGATCTTTTCTTCATCTCCGGGATAAGAGAGAGCGTACAAGCGAATTTCTTCGTTGGGGACCTAATCGTCGCTGTCGACGGAATCGATGCTAGACGGCTCAGCTTGGAGTCTTTGCAAGGGTGAGAAATTTCGATTTTGGTTAGAAAGTTTTTTTTCATCCGTAGGTCGTTCTCACGCGGATAGTCGTCGGAAATTGCATTCATTGACTCCTCGCAGACTCCTGCGGTGTTACAAGGGTCCCGTGGTCCTGAGACTTCTACCGACGTCGGCGCTGCGGCATGATCGGCTCCGTTTCGATCGCTTGTTTTCCGCCTTCGCGGATCTTGCGTAGCTTTGGCTCTTCGTTTCGGATAATTAGTTTGTGAATGCGAATAATTGTGAGATGAACACTTTTGACGGTTGCGGAATAAAGGTTTTCAATTATGGAGATGAGCAATGCGTCTTCTCCTCGAAGGCCGCGAGATTCGCGAGATTCATTTGACTTCATACGGAATGGATCAAGCAGAATTGTTTATAAAGACGAGGTCCTCCTAGAAGATTATCAGTCGGTGCGAAGTCTAGACGACTCAACATGGCGTATACTAAGCTCATCTTAGCCCTTCTGATCCTCGTGGCGCTGCTCGGAATCAGCGAGCGAGGGGCGTACGGTAGAGGCTTCACGAAAACCTACGAAGTTGAGTATGATGGAGGTGATTGGACTGGAAAAATCGGATTCCGGAAGAAAGGGATGCTCAATGACTACCACAAGATGCAGAACCTGATATCTAGAGGGAAGAACAACTGTTTCCATCGATTTTTCGGGCTGACTCGATGTCTGATGCATGACATGAAATAATAAATCTCATTCCGCGACGACCGATCCTTTTTTCGTGGACTTTAGAGTCAGGGAGTTCTCGAAGCTCTTCCTGATCCCGAGCTCTCTTTGTTTATCGTCATGGTCGCGAAGAATCGAGGGAACCATCTCGCGCCATGACCATCGCGACCCTCCGGACAGACCACCTGCATGCAGCAAGGGGAAGATGGGGTTCTGGATAGCATAAGAGGTCTCTGCCCCCTCGGACCCCACGCCCTAGCTCGAATTCAACTTCCGTGTGTTCTCCCGGCGAAGATTCTATCTGCCCCTGTAGGAGAACGAAGTTTCCCGGATGATTAATCCGACGCTGAGTCTGTTCGATGAATATTAGGCTGTCGCTTGGAAACCGTCCGATCTGTTCAATGAGCCGTCCCGGAGATGGCTCACTGAGATGCTCGAGGGGATTGCTGCTGCCCGCCGGAGACGCGTAAAAGATCACCACCTGAGTGATAGGTGATAGCGCTACAAGAAGATCTCCCCGCGGACGACTCCGCACAGCGATAAATAATGGGGAAGACTTCCGAGTCGTAGAGGTGCCTCGCAACTGAGTTCGCCTACGCGTGTACGGTGAGGCGTGGGGCTGCGGTCACGAAGCACAGTCCCATGGAGCCTGATACGAATTATGGCCAAGTGCCCATGAACTGTACAGGTGAGTCTCTGATTCGATACCAGCACGTCACTCCGCAGTTCTGCGTCGATGTCTCAAGGTCGCTTGGCCGACACCTCAAGACTGAAACAAATGATGACTTGTCACTGCAAACATTCTTGCGCTGAGTCGGCTCAATGTTTTATCTACGAATATCGAATGATCATTAATGGGGAGGCATGTACATCTCGCTGCAGCACTGCATGAATATTCATTCTTTTTTGATTCTTCAAGCACTCGATACCGATGCTGTTTACTTCATTTCATTTTTAATCATCAATTGCGTGAATATAAGTCTGACATACCTCGAAGTAGCATTCCCATTGACAGATGACGGAAACTTCCGCGAGCACGGTGGCGACAATGCTCTGCATTCACCGAATAAGGCGGATTCGCGGCCAGGTGATACAGGACCCCAGACACCGAAGAATCAAGCTCCGGATGCCTTGACGTCATCTCCGACTTGGTTCCTCACAGAGTTCGCCAATAGATCGAAAGACGCATCCCACCTCGATACCCCGGAATCGTCGACATTCGACGTGAAACCGGAATGCGAGGAGCCTAAGCGGAAATCGAAGAGCCGTGGACGCTCGAAAGATTCGAGAAAATCGAGGGAGTCGAAGAAACAGAGGCAGTCGAAAAAATCCGGACTTTCGAAGACATCCAGTCGTTCAAGGAGCCCGAGTGACTCCAAGAGTTCGAGGAGTTCCCGCAGTCGGCGCTCTTTCTTAAAATCGACCGGTCCATCATGGGGAGAAGCTCTACGATGTGCGATGCATGGGTTGATTGGCGTTATCTCGATGACTTGTCTGGTCCTCGCCATCCTCATTCTCGCCAGGATTACCTGTACGTTGACTTCCGCTGCGTCCCGGAGCCTCTCGGGCGTCCCATCGATGACTTATACCACAAATCGAACTCCTACCCTTCCTTTCCACTCTTTCAACACTCTAGCTTCCTGGAATCCGTAGACTCCCGTCACGGTATCTCACTGCCGTCGGCGTGATAATCTATGTCGGATGGGTTCCACAGATATCCGTGGGGATCCATCGCTCATACTCAAGATCGTCGAGGTCGCAAAGAGCTCGCTCCCTTCCGGTGTGGAATACTTCAATATGACGGAACCATATTGGAGGATGACGGCAGGGAGTCTTAGCTTCTCCCCGACGACAGCCTATGTAACGTGGATAATATCGGTCGTGCGCTTGGATCCCCTGCAGCACAAAGGTGACGGAGCTTTTCAGGTGGAAACGCGTCGGCATCGATTTCCGAAATTACGACGAGTTTCAATGTCTCTCCATCCTATACTAGGTGGACTCCTCAACACGAACGTCGTTCTCAGCCTGCCGTCAGTCGTGATATTCTGCCGATACGACTTGGGATCGCAGACGAATTATTCCACACGTTACGGCTTGGCCGAGACCCGGATGGAGCCATTTTATTTCTCGTGCGCATTCGAAATAGCAGCGATAGAAACTGAATCTTCTAGCGTACGGAGCTGCGAGGTAGAGTCCCTTCTCTGACCAATAATACCGGTTCACCCTACCGATAGTACTGAGAGCGCGCATCGAAGATCATGAAATCGACGACCTTAGCTCCCTCTACGGTGGTGCATGTCCGGATCTGCTGGCTCTCCTTATCGCTCCCTTTCTAGACCTTCTATTCCCGACGCCCGCGGCGCGTGAATGATTTTCCAGCCTGAAATTTCTCTCTCTCGTGATCTCATTCAATGAAAATATTCCGAAAACGAGGTTCACGTCGAGGCACGGTTGGGCGGCGGTCTCTTCGTAAGATCACGGTTCGCTTTCCTCAGATGGATCCACCGAGGGAAGAGAACCTGGTGCTTGACAGAAACATCTCCAGAGCACGAATCGGCCCCAACTACGCGCAAGAATTGGCGAGCATCCAGACGGAGGTCATGAAGGAGTTCTGTGCCGAAAGTGTGGTCCCCCGTCTCCATGAAACCCTTAAAGCCGCCATGAGGGAGGTTGAGAATATTTCCTGAGGTGAGGTGATTCCTCTGCGAGGGATTCCCGGAGTCATCGAGTTCCGTGGGAAGAGCTGAAGCTTTCTCTGCGATTCATGTCTCAGGAGAGGACTTAGGCGAAGCTCTCCGGCGGCTCCGAGGAGCTACCGGAGTCTGAATATCGCGACCGAGACGAGCAGAGATCTTTGAGCTTCACGCTCCGACTCGAAGATCCCGTTTGTCGCATCGGGCCGTGAGAAGACGAGCCCCGATTCTAAGAGCGTCAACGATCGTGTTTGGCAAGAGACTAGTCCTGACTTCTGACCCGTCTGGTCCTTGTGACGTGTTCTTCGGACTCGAGTCGGGAGTTCAGGAGTGAAGAGTGTCATACATCTCTGTCACACATCTTCTGCTGTCTTCCGCCGATTCGCAAGGAATGAAATTTTTTCGAGACGATCCCAGGGAATTGCAGGTGGACAATCTCCGGAAGACCCGAGAGTCTCTTTGTTCAGGATTAGAGAGAAAGAAAGTAGCGATGATCTGGCCATTGCACGGAGGATTCATCAGGCAATCAGAACTCTGCATTTCCGCTCGCCTGCAGTCAAGTTTCAGACGTAGCCTGATAAAACGTCCGTGCCCGAGTTGGGTCCACCGTTCTTTAGAGTTTTCCTTTGATCGCTCACAATATCCGTATCGACCCTGGCATGCGAACTAATTAAGATTCTGTTGATCGGCGATTCGGCGAGTCATGCAGTCATGCTACATGAATACTTCTTTCCGTAGAGAGCAAGCCTGCACGAGACGGTGCGGTGGCTGGGCGGGGAACTCTCCGAGGAGATGTCAATCCGAGACAATGAAATCGATGGAGGGATCGATCTGGCAATCGCCCTCCGTTCTTGGGTTGACCCGAGGGCCGAAAATCGGCTGACCCGCTGAGGCCCCCCTGGGCGCCCGCTGCTCCTTCAAAACCAGGCGCCTCCACAGGGGGGGGGGCTAGGAGGGTATAGCTATAGCCCCTCTCAGATTGAGGGTTCGTAATACTAAGGTATAGGAGCGAGTCGCAATGTTGGGTATCAGCCTTATGCGGAGACCCGATCTAGGAAGTACGCCCCTCCCCTCTCCGAGTGATTTTGATTCTTCGGCCTTCCCTTCAGTCCTGCAGTAATCATCCGGTTTCCTTATCGAAGATAAGCATGGCGCCGCTCTGACCAAACAATCCGTTCAGAGCTCACCCGGGAATCACGAATCACGAAGAACATGATGTGAGTCGCCGGTTTTCCATCCGGTTTTAGAAGATGCTTCAGGAGAGTCACACCTTCCAAGACGGTATCCAAGACGGTCGTCGAACGACCACATCCGGACAACCTCTTGCCGCAGCGAGTTCGACCGATTGGTGAGCCAGGATCGGAGAAGTTCTAGACATTTGAAAGTCCTCATACTGCGGGTAGGGGCTCCGCATGCGGGTGACTAGATCCGCATCTGCCGGGAGGCTAACGCCATCCGAAATGCTCCTGTTGATTGAGGACGTTATAGTTCTTCCTTTGGGAATTTTCAGGCTCCTTGCGAGACCGGGCGACTGAAACTTCTCGGGTCGTCCAAAGGGCCTTCTTTATTCGGTAGTGAGTATCATCGACGATGATTATGAGGATGATGTGCTACGGACAAGGTGCGTCAGCCCAGGACTCACGTTATTCATTTGATACCCTCCCTTCTGAAGGCAGTATCGCATATCCTCACGCAGGAAGCGTGACCTCGTTCTTGGTGGTGCGTCGAGAAACCCCCAAATGTACTCGGGGTGCGCCAATGGGGGTTGAGAAGAATCGGATACATGGTTACTGTGGAATCTTCATTAGGCGAAACCGGGGCTTATGCACAGATCCGCGTTCGGGGGAATCTCTCTGGATATCGTTGATACCTAGTGCATCCGTTTCAAGTCGGCGTCGATGTCAAATCTCTATAGAGATTTTCTCTGCATCCGCCCCCGGACTTGGCTTCCTTCATTATTCTTGAAATGACCCCGAGCATTCACTAGACTCAAATCCCTAGGCCTTCCGAGATGGAACGACAGTCGAGGAAAAAGAATTGGCTAGGGGTGGTCCAGCCTGCTTTCTGATGACGCGATTTCGTCAGCCGTTTATTCTGAAGGCAATGCTATTGGAGTAATACGTGATTGTTCTTCTTGAAGGGCTGCCTGATTTCTCCATGGGCGGGAGGTGCCTGATGGCGATCGACGTCCCTTCTTCCGGCCTCCCTCATTCGAGCGAGTCGCATGACAACTCACTGATTGGATTACCGCTGGAAAAACTCGCCGAATCTGAGGAAGACGCTGAAGCACATCCACCAACACGTCACTTCTTTTTCGTCGTTTTGACTTCATTGGAAATTCCATCGCTTGCCCGTGCGACTCGCTCTGAATTGATAGATTTGCAGATATCCACCATGTCCGAGCTTGCGAAGTAGTCCATGGCGATAATGTTAGCTCCATCCCTCATGGACTGATCTTCCGAGTACCAGGATGAGATCCGGAAGTTATCTCTGTGAGCCAGACCACGGACGCCACCGCGATACTTGTCGAATATGACCGACCATACGCCCTGCGCCGTCGTCTGGGCCATGGCGCTGTAGAACCAACCGTATGGCCTTCGGAGACTCTGGCCGTTCTCCAGTCTCTCCTGGGGTTAGGAGAAATCGTCATTCGGATTTCCAAACAGATTCAGGAGCACGACGATCCGACCATCTCGACCATTATATAGCTTCGCAATGCACCCACTTGGAGAACATCGACTTCGTCGGTGTTAGCCCAGATATGTTGAACTCCCGGGAGGAATCGATCCTGGAGGTAGCCGTTCTTCTGAAAGGTCAGAATGGCTCGTTTGTCGCTTTCGATGATGCTGTTGAGGGTCTTTTCAGACGGCCAGGTCATTTCCCTCCGGTGGATGAATCTCCCTGGGGGAGGGAAAGATAAATGAAGGAGCGCAAATGAGAGTCCCGAGCGCACCTTTCGATATCATCGCTGTCTTGCGGCTGAGCGAGCCAGAAAATTTCAATTATTTTTTTTTAATTTATGATTTTGAAAGAATGTAAACGATCAGAATAGTGATCCTCCTCAATGCGAAGTGCCAGGGATCGCGAATACCCACCGAGAACTTCTTCGACGAGCTTCTCTAAGCCCTGATAGGCGGCGTCGCTCTCGAAGCCCTTGGGGAATTCGTGGAAAGCGACTATCACCACCTCTTTAGGGTAGATTTCCAAAAACGATGCGATATCTTGTAGAATAGGTTTCAGCGCATTCTGAGTGTAGAATCTGTCATGGTAGATCCAATATTCGTACCCGTCGTAAGGGGAGGACTCTGAATTGAGAAAATAAAATATCAATGGCGGGTCCACGGTGCGACTGATGCTGGTGGGAGATCCTCCATACGGGTCCCCTTTCATTCCTCAAGCTCAAAGCAAAGGGCTCTAACTTCGACTGACAGCTCCTGGTCTCAGATCCAGAAAGCGAATCCCGTAGAGAAGTTGGGTGAAAACGTCCTCTTCTTGGCAGTCTCTGTATCGATTTAAGTAGTTGAATTTGGTGAAATGTTTGAAAGTGCCGCTTTGATGTGTGCCGGGGATGACGAGGTCCTTCAAGGCTGTCCCACCGATCAGGGGGAGCAACTCTTCCATCCAACGAGGTTGAACGCGGAGACAACCCCGTGCCAGAACATCATTGTTGACGTGCAGCTCGCAACAGTGGGTCAAATTACCGCTCGGTTGTTCGCCAGCGATCCATTTCGTCTAGAAAAAATTCTGTGAGTTCACAGGAAATCGTCAAACCCACGAAATCGACCCCCAAGTTTGTTTCTGAATGACATGGGGCAGCTGGCATGGAGACTGAGGTTTACCTGCTCGAATTTGACGCCGGTGAAAATTCTGACGGAACGGTCTGTTTTCTCGGCGATTCGATCCCGGATGTGGAATTCACTGATTTTCTCCCGATTTTCGTTATTCGAGATGACGAGGATTCCATTGTCAATGTGTTCGGGCTCGATTTCGCGAAGGAACACTGCCAACTCTCGAACTTTCGTGTCACCATCTTTCGCCTGACCCGCCGATATGACCACTGACAAAGAAGGCTGCGATCCTACCTCTGAGGAAAACCGGCAATTCAAGGAGTGAGAATGAACTCATCTCTAGTGTCGCGGCGATGGGACCGACTTTCACTCTGAATTGAGGCAAAGACATTGCGCTCCACGGAGCGGGCGAACAAAGCTGCTAGGGTACCTCTGATAAGAAGCTGGCAGCAGGCGGTGGTGAGAACGACACGGATAAATCCCATATTGTGGTTGACCGAGCGAGATCAGAAAAAAATATATTCATAGGCAGCGCTATTGTATGCTCGTGATTGACATGACAGGAGAGCTTGTCGCAAAGGCTGCACGAAGTTTTCCGACTCGAATCTGTCGACAGAATCCAACCTTATATCGGGACATAATGACAATGCCCCCGATATTCTTTTCTCATGCGGCTGCGTCCCTTATTTGCTGTCTCAAACGTCGAGACCGGCAGGGGGAGATACGGATGTCACCCTGCGCGTGAATCGGAGTGGTGCATCGGAGTCAGCGGAGCTTTCCTTTCATGTGAAGACTCGAGACAATCATGTCATCGATTGCATCGTCAGAGGTGCATCCCGATCATCAGACCACCGGAGTCAACTGTCCGGTATTAGAAGTTGGCCTCGAGATCAACAGGGAAACGTTCTTCCGACGAGCCATCCATGGATATGGCCCCTGTTACAACTTCGCTTCCTTCCTCTGCTGGTTTCGATTCAGCTGTCAAGCGAGTGCGGTCGCCTCTCGAAGTCTGATCCGCGATACACCTCTTAGGATCTACCTTGCAAGTTCGTGACTTACTCACAGACCGGGTGCACGGCCCGTAGTATGAAGAAAGGTCAGGACTCAGAATTCAGGAATGATTATGGACGCATGTTCTTGTTTCGTGGCTTCACCCGAAGACCGCCATCGGGCGGTCAGTCGAACTTGTTGGAAGAAGTCAAGATTCTGTCCGGGTTCACACGGTCACTTTGATAGCGAACGCCGGGAGATCCAGCCGATCGTCGGAGCCTATGTATATCTATCCCGGGCAGATTTATGTTTCAGGTAATCCCGCGCTGCTGATCCTTCGATGTCGGCGTATTTAGACTCTGCTGGGCTCGCGAGAAGCCAGCTATACGGTCTCGAGTTCGTTATCATCGAAATAATCGGGGTCCCCGCAGGCCTCCCGTGCAATTTTGGAAGGAATTCCTGGGACCACCTGCTCGGATACCACAGGAAACGACATCTCTCAGACACGTTCTGCTGGGGGCGATGCAAGCGTCTGGGAGAGAAATTTTTGTACGGGAATATTCGCGCGGGGGATACGTGTGGAGTACTGTGCCTATGAGTGGCTGGACGGCCATCCCTTGGAGCAGGCGAAATGGAGGATATGCGTGCTTTTTTCGTGAGCCTCCCCCTCCCCGAATGAGCCATTTATGATGAGGTGTGTGAGGACGAGTAATAAGACGAGTGACGAAACCGTGTGACGAATCTCGCTCTTCAGTTTCAGTCAAATCAAATCGCGATTCGGGTAGTGCTGCAGATTTCAGCACCAATTGGCGAACACTTGATGCTTCATCTTCTTGATCGCTATCGAAGCCTCGACTCTATCGGAACTGAGGAAATAGTCCATGGCGATTGTATTCGACGTTCTCCATAGCGTCCAAAAATGTCTGTACCAACATGAAACGGAAAAATTTCAGCTTGTGTGCGTCTCCTCTGACACCGTAGCGGCTATTTGTGCCCAAGAGAAGGCTCAATACTCCGAGATGGGGTGTCAATTGCGCCATGGCTTTGTATAATACAACGATTCCGACTTCAGCTCGCCGCGTTGCTCTCTTTCCATGAAGGCTTGTTCAGATAATCGAAATTCCATCATCTTCAGGAAATCCGCGATGGAAATTATGGAATATAGGCAGCACAAGAAGCAGCTTTCACTTTCAAGTGGGGCACAGATTCTGTATTTGTCCATAGCTGAGAGTTGCCGATCAATTCATAGCAGCGGTTCCCAACCTTCTTTGCTTCGCGGCTCCCCGGAGAACTAGGAATTTTCTCGCGGCTTCCAGGGTGCCCCGTGCCAAGGAGGCTCTCGCGGCTCCTTTCTCTCCTTCCTTCTTTATCACATCTCTTGACGGAAGAGTCAAGATATCCGGTACTCTCTGATCTTTTCATACAAACATTGATGGCCCAACGGGAGAAGCTGAGTTCCGGAAGATGACGTCGACCCCTTTCGGAGCTTTCCCTCAAAAAGGACAAACCCTGACTGGGCGTCCGGAGCCCGACCTGTCTCGCTTTGTGAACGGCTCCCCAAGAGAAGTGAGGCGGCTCCTCGGGAAGCCGGGGATCCCAGGTTTGGAACCACTGATCTACAGCGTCTGTATATATAATTTCGAGTTTTGACGGAGAGGTCCCTCATACGTTACGAGAGCTCGTCTCCCTGTACTTATGATATCGTTCAAAGTCACTTGGTCGATCGGACCGGTCGAAGCATCGGAATTGAAGTAGCCTGTGGAAGGGCGGAGACAAAATGTGACTCCTGGGAGCGAATGCAATCGCGAGGAATGAAAATTCCCCCCCACTACAGACCGAGGATTTGGTCGACCGTGTCCTCCAGGAGTCGGAAATCCCTTCCACTCTCGAAACCCAACGGGAACCCGTGGGAGAGATTTTTCACATACCGCAGCCGGGTTCTGTCGCTACTCATTTTCGATAGTCAAATAATTGTCACATCCATTCGCTCGAGACACCTTTCGACTCCCCAGGTGCCGTTATCCGAGGAAGGAGAGGAGTCGCGGACGGAGTCTTTGATCATGTCGGCGAGAACAACGAAAGGATGGCCGCTATCCCCCCGGAATCACCGAAAAGCGACTCTCAAGGCGGACCGTTCTGGGACATAGTCGGCAGATACATCGGGCTTTTAGTGTTCTTCATCTTGGTCAAGACCTCTTGCTCCCTGTATCTGTACTCAGTGGTTTTCAGTGCGGTCGGCCCGACACATCGAAACCTGCAATATTTTCTCACAACCTTCACGTATTTCTTCGGCATCTTATCCGTTTGGTCGTATTGGCGGACCCACCGTGAGCTCCCTTCGAAAATCCCAGACCGCTACTATTTCACTGGGGCGGAATGGCGCATCATCGAAGCTCTAAGATACGACCATCAGGCTCTATCGGAAGAACTCGCAGTCATGGCCGACGCGCGTGGCATCCGGACTCGAACGCCGGATGGCCTCGTGAACGCCTGCAATACGTGTCGTGTCATCAAACCGGAACGAACGCATCACTGTAGCGTTTGTAGAATGTGCGTCATCAAAATGGATCATCACTGCCCGTGGTTCGGAAACTGCATCCACTATCACAATTTCAAGTATTTTCTCCAGGCTCTGCTGTACTCCACTCTCGGGATGACTTTCATGCTTCTTACGGCCGCTATCTATTTGTTAGTTTCGGATAATGGAATGAAACGGATGAAGGCGGCGGACGGAGCTGTGCTGGGTTTCGTTGTGCTCGTCCTCCTGAGTTTCTGTGTTGGCGTCCCCACTGGCGGATTTTTCGTGGCGTCCTTTTATCATGCAATGCACAACGTCACCACGTTAGAGGATCTGAAGGGGACGGTGTACTTCGCGGATGGTGCTGAGGAATCCTACAATTTGGGCTCGTGTTGTCTAAATCTGAAGCAACAGCTCGGGCCCGTCTTCCTCGCTTGGCTCATTCCCGTGAATAGTACCCCTGGTGATGGCACCCAGTATCTGGTGCGCTCCGATGTGGACACAGCTAAATCGAAGAGACGAAAATTGACGGACAAGAAAGCGATTGATCACACTTTCAGCGGGACGACAAGCTAGCGAGTGACAAATGTTGTCCATGGTCCCCATGGAATTGGTTTTTTGAAGCATTTATCTTCTAAATAATAAATCGAGTTGGGGCGGAGAATTACTTGTGAAGACACTCCCGTTTTCAATTGAATGACCTGTCATGAGAATCATTTGCGTGGTCACGATTTCCCTGAACCTTCCGGGATACGTATGAGTACAGATGGAAAAAAATGCCCTGCCGATCGGAGTGATTTGGGAATTCCGGTGTTCTTAGAAGCGTTCTTCGTGTTCCTTCCCTGCAACCGTCGCTCAGACGACGCACGATGACCTTGGTGACACAAGAACTTGCGTGTCTGCCTGCCGAAGATCCGGCTCGGCGACAGCGTCGGGTATGGAAGCTACAGTATCGAAAGTTTTGAAGTCCAGCTAGAGAATAGCGAAGTTGGTGACCCTTGCTTCTTAATTTTCATCGAAGCGTGATTGAGCTGGGAAAATGAAAATGAGGAGAGGCACGCTCTTCTTTCGCGTTTCTATCGATCATGGACCTCATTCTTTCGAATTCCTCCGTAGAAGCTGAGCATTCCCCCCAACCCGTACCTTTAGCTCATTTCATCGCCAATTATCATGGATTCAGGATTCAGGCAGCCTCGATGCTCCGGTGCTGCCGATTTCTCATCTTTGAGCTCACGATGCTTGAGTTTCCCTGGAGAAGAAGCCGATCAAGAGGAGACTTCCTCGACGATTCCTTCAGCAACGAGGCGTGCGAGACCCCGAAATGGCACCTTTGGCTTGAGGAGAGCCCCTGTGGGGACTCTTGTCAGACCTGAAACCCTTGATCCTAGCTCCGGGTGCTTGTGAGGGGCAGTTCAGCTTCCGGAATAATCCGGATACAGGGAGACGAAAGTTTCACTGACTACCGAATAGATATCGAAGTCTCTTATCTTCCGCAGCAAATTTTGCACACGAATCGTGTGTCCTGAACGGGCAGACCCGCGCACGTTCCCCTGCTAAGACAACAAATAGCTCCTTCCTACATTACGCAACCGGATCGAACGCTTGTATCGTGAATCACCGCAGCAAAAACAGCTCATCCGGCTTCCACGCGCGTATCATACAGCTCCATCGCAGTTCTTATATCATCGGCTATCGCCCGAAGACTTTTCCGAAGTTCGTCGCCCATCTCATTCACCGATCGCCTGATCATCCAATTAATAGAACGATTCGTAGAGACAAAGTGAAACAAGAGGATCAACGAGCATTTTACTTCAAGTCTGTTTATTTCCACTTGAACCATTATTTACATTTATTTCCACAGATGACCAGCTGCAGCAACGCAAAGCAAAAAAACTTGGAGAAGAATCGGCAGAAAGGAGTCTTGCGAACCAAACTCCAGTCATCCACGAAACGCTTTGGCAGCTCTCATTCGAACTCTAAATTTTTCCGTCCCCATTAAAAACATCTTCGTTGGGTCAACCCTCAATCATCGATTCGAATAGTATTGGGTCCGTTCCCTTGCCTCACCCAGGATCTCTTTGGGAGAGACGTTTTGAGCCCGCTATGAGAGTTCTGTTTCCTTCCCAATCATCTCCGTCTAGGAGAAACTATAAATAGCGTGTGACAGTGTTACGTCCAGCGCAACAAGTTTTCTCTTGAGTATTCGTCTGTCAGAATCATGCCGCGAGTAGTCGACCATGTGACGACCAACCGATTCCTCAATCCCTGTAATCAAACAAATTCCGCGTTGAGTCGTCAACACCCTCGATCCTATCCATAGATGCGCTAATCTAAGACAGCTATATTCGAATTGCGGGTGGCCATCCTTACGAAACTATATAATAAGGGATCCGACACGCGTAATCAGACAAGCCAGTCGGAGAGTCTGCCGCAAAGTCAATTTTCCTCGCAGATTGCGGGAGTATAAGACAGATCAGATAAGTTGAGTGCGGAATTCCACTCGATTGACCGTCCAGACTCGAGGAAATTTTTAGAAACTTGGATAAAGTTCATACAAAAAAAAGGAAGCAGCGACAAAGGTCAGATTCGGGATATCTTCGAGTCGCTCAACGTGCAGTGCGAGTCTTGCTGAAGACATTCAGCTTCTATCGGACGTCTTTTCTCCGATTTTTCCGTCGACGGCTATATCTCCGCCGCTGCGCTACAAAAGCCGTCCGATGTTTGACGCATTGGCTACGGCCGTTTCACCGCTACGCGCTTCGTTGGTTTCCGCACGAATTCTCGCTTAGGTGAAAAAATGAAAGAGGTGTTTCACTATTTGACTTGGAATCGTTAATGATATACATGCAGCTCCTCCACTAGGGAAATGGGCTGCTTTCCGCCAAAGCGGTCCCCCTTGGTGCGATTGCTTCCAAATTTATCACCACCGGACGGGCCTCGGGTTCGACTCACTCGAAATTCGGACTTTCACTCACATACATGGTCTGCGAGATTCGAAGATGGTCCGCAGTTCGAGCCGAGCGGAATTTCCTCACCTCTTTTCCGGCTCTGGAAAATATTGGGGGAATCGGTGTATTATATCACTTACCAATCGCCGTGATCGACGTGGTGATGATGGTAAGTTTTCTTCTTCTTTCCTCCAAGCTGAATTCGCACTTTTATCCGGGGCAAATGTTTGACCGGTATGGGGATGGGTACCGGCAATAGTCCGATGCTGTGGAACATTCCAAAAATAAAAATTCCTCTGCCTTTTGCAAGCGTTGCGCGGAAGGATATTATAGCGAAGCTCAGCCGAAGTGCTGTCACTCGGATCCGTCTCGCGGTCGGCATTTGCGCAACTTCTCGGGATGAGCCGTGAACACCGGGAATAGAGGATCTCGATAAACGCTCGAGCCGAGTAAAATAGTTTTTTTTCGGCAAGCAAGAAGAATGTTCCCCGCCATGATCGATTCCAGCTCAAATCTTAGACTTCTGATAAATTCGAGATGTCGAATGTTCCGCTTGGATCATAGAGATCGATAAGATTATCGGGAGCGCCGCCGCTCTGAACGCTGAATACGAGATGGGTTCGAAAACCGACAGCGAGTCTCACGGATGACGCCGTGCTCAAGATCGCGCTCCGGTTGACCACCTCGTTCACCGTTCTACTCACCCTTTGTGATGATGTCCATGGTAAAGTGGGAAATGTTTGAAGAGCACTATAGGCAACACGAAAGATTCACTTTTTTGAGGCAACACCAACAAGCATAGGAGCGTCACAAGGACTCCGCTGAGAAACGTCAAAACACGGCACCTCATGTCGAAGGGACTTCGCGCCCTGAGGAACACTGCTACAGCTCGATGTGCCGACGAGCCGTTCGGCGCTGTCTGCCGAGGGGGTCTGGGAGCCGGGCTTTCCTCCTCACACGTCTTTCTACCACTTGTTCTTCTTCTTCTTCTCGCATTACGGATCTTCCGTTCTTCCGTAAAACCCGGCCCAGCGACATCGATTACGTAACGCCGAAAGCCGTGGGGGTCACGAGGTTGTTCGGGAAAACCTCGCGTTCGCTTTCATTCGGTCACACTGTCCGCGTCCGCATATTCTGTCACGAAGGATCACAGCGGAATAGAGCTCTGCGGATGTCGCCTGGGATGAACGTATCCTCGGGAGGTCTGAAGGCCATTGACCTTGAAACGGCCAGTGGTCGGATCCGACACAAGCGGAACAACTCGGACTCGACTCAACTTCGGATCAGAACACTTAGCCGACGAGGGTTTCAACTTTGCTGCAGGGGGCATTTTCGCTTCAAACTGTGACTTCCGGGTTTTTTTTCGGCAGCGGGCTCAACGCGGCAGGCTAACAGTTGAGCATCCGCGTCGCTACCGCCGGTTTCTAGCCCGATCTGTCAGTCTTTGTTTCAGATGACAATTACGTCACGGACCTTGTTGCGGTTTTCGGCGTCCGATCCCTCGCCTCTCGAGTCCGAGGTGAATTGAGTCTTCGCCCGAGCATTGTGGATTCAGATGGGTTGGGAGAAGACGTTTGTGCGTGCTGATCAAGGTTTCGATATTTTGGGATCTCTACTAGGAACATATGAACGTACGCTCGGACAGTCGGATTTCGCAAGTGTGTTCCGAGTGTCGATTTGTGGTCAGTCGAGCGTCGGACAACCGCAACGACTGCGTGCGCCGCGCTACGCAACGCTCAACCGTATAGCAGACATCGTTAGATGTTCTTTGCGTTGGGAGTGTCCGGAATTAGCGACGGAAAAAGGGGAATCCCAATGGGAATGGAGCAACTCACCGTCGACCAGAGGCGCAGCGATTCCGTCGCGCAATAACGTATGACTCATGGATGCACGGTCAAGCGGAAAATAGAAGGAGCACAGCATCCGAAGTCTCGGGACTCGGAGGCACACGGACAGTTTCCAACGGTTTTCAAGGGAGGATTCAGAGTTCGACCTCGTAATCTCATTGCCGATTGTCCTCAAAATAGGTTCATACCTCTTGCGGCGTCATCCTTCGGAATGGATAGTGTCACTATTATCACGCGATACTATGCATAGTACGACGGTTTTGATGAGACCGGGCCACGGCCGTGAGAATGATTCTGAATGATCGCTTCGTTCCTGCACATTTCCTCGTCAAGCCGGTCTCATGCAAATGAGATGGACCAATCGGGTGGTTATGCTGATAACGATCAGATAGTCACGGTGCGGTGTCTTGACCCTGAAGAATGCGGTCAGACCTGCTGTTAGGAGTGTCGATCAGATGGAGGGCTGCGCGATTCTCCGAATTATTTCCGACCTCTTTCAGATGTACATATGTTTCACGGGATAGTCTCGGATATCTTCCGGCGACCCAAAAGTCGCTTCAGGAGGAGGAATATCGGCTAGACCCTGTCGGAGACAGTCCGGCTGAATCCAAAGGGGGTTGACCGATGGATAGTCCATCGCCCAGAGCCGTTCGCTGATCGCGCGCAGATTTCGCATGGCCACATCGACATGCCAAAGAAAGGCGGGCTGGAATCTAACAATCGAGCGACATTTGTGATTTTCGAATCAGAAGATGAACCTTGGGACCGAGTGAATGAACAATCGAAGTCTCGGCTCCGGACTCCATGTAGGCATATAGGACGAAGGAGGCAAGGACCGTGGAGGTGCCATCATTCCCCAGGATCGAGACCTAGACCGTAACTGTTGGCTCAATCTGCTTGATGAGGGTTCTAATGCATAGATCTCAAGTCGGCGTGATTTCTATTCGGACCGTCTGACTTCTGTTTCTGATGATTCAGAGAAATAATTTGGGGAGTCGAAGGTCATCTCCGACGATCATGCGGAGTATTTGACTCTTCATATCGAATTCAACCCGAATTTACGAGACGAGAGAACTGCGAGTGAGACGATTTCACTTATACATTTTCCATACACGTATTTTCTACTCTCATGAGTCTCGAGGGCTCGCATGGAGATTCTTCTTCCGATCGATTTCTCCACCCATCTCAACTCAGGGATCGGGATCCGTCCGGTGGCAGACGGATTCTTCTCGGATCATCTTCTCGCATCGCGATCGCCTCGCGCTTGAGGTGAATCAGGCAGGCAAGCAGCGTCTGCCCTCCCTGAAGGTGACCCCGTCACCGACGGTGCTGGACAGCGGCAGGAACCATGCCAGTATGACGGGTCCAAAGATTTCTCTCCAGTTATGGTAAGCTCCATTATCATAGGGACTTCCCCTCGGATATTTGTTCTTGATTGCAATGAATAGCTCAACCGGTGTCGAGTTCCGGAAAACATGCCACAAACAATAGGCGAGGAATGCTCCGATGGCAAGAGAAGACGCCATGGAAATCGCGAAAACTGCTGTCAATAAATACTCGTCCATTTCGCTGAGTCTTCGATTCGTCTTGTCGAAATGAGGATAAGGTCCATGCATAATTGTGTAGAGAGTCGTGACGATGAACGCGCAGGATACGAACGCGTAGATTAACGTCAAAAGGAAAAACTTCATGTTCCCGAAATGTATGCAGTTCCCGAAAAAAGGACAATGATGGTCCATTCGTAGAATACAGCGTCCACAGATGCGGCAATGATGCGCGCGGGGGGGCACGAACAAACGACATCTCATGCACAGATTGAGACCTCTCGGAATATCTTTCAGATCCGCCAGATAATTCGCGTATGCTCGAGCCAAGAATCCGCGCTGTGATTTGAGCATATTAAGCTCGTCCTCGCTCAGCCTGAAGGCCTCGGGGATCGGACTCGGACGAGTGAAATTCGTTCGGTAGTACGACCAGAGCATTAAAAAATAGCAGAAAAGCACAACGGTCATTTGAAAAACTGCGGTGACGGTACTTTCAATCAGCTGCGAAACCGCTCTTTGGTACCCGATCACCACGATGAGTGAGATTATGGAGAGAGCGCCACCCCCCCAAAAACGCAGCGCCAGGATCCCAATTCGTTTGAGGAACTTCCATATCGTGGACGAGGGCATCGCGTTGTCGTAGGAGTCCAGAGACGACGAGTTTTCACGAAGCGCGAGCTTATTGCTGCAATAGACTGAAAATCTTCCGATGATCCGACCCGCCCTCCCTAGGTAGTATGACTTGGCGAGTTTTAGAGTCGACCAACAAAACAGGGACCTGCGGATGGTGCGCCGCGCACAGATATGCATCCACTTCTCTGCGAGGCTGAAATGGATCGAGAAAGCATGCGCTAAATACGGATGCGGCTGCCGATCCGGGGAAGTACCGGAACGTTGATGACAGAACTTCACGAGCAACCACTCTCTCACGTTAGAACAATCCCGAAATAGATGGGAGGGAATACCAGTCTCCGCTTCCACTGATCGAGTCGCAATCACGCTTCATCTGCAGCTCCGATTTGAGTGGCGGTGGTTTGAGCCTGGAGCATCTTCGAGCTGTTCACAGGAAAGCACCGCAGGATTTCAAAGTTACCGGACATGCAGGTCTGTTGAGTTTCAAGCCTCAGGGGATCTCTCTCCAATTCATTCTGATCCTACAGAATCACTCGATGATGCGCGTCGGGATCCCGGTTTCCTGCCGTCGGACTTGATTCAATTATTGATAGTTCATGAGGCACGCGTGAGCGGAATTGTCGGCTGACAGATAAGTTCCGCACAAGAAATGGAGGCTCGATATCTCAGTCAGTCAGATTGAAAAACTTCAGGGCTCAAAGACTTCAGATAATGAAGTTCACTGATGATGACATCACAGCTGCTTGTCCTTATGGCTATGACGAAACTGAGGACTTCACGGTCGGAAGTGAGCTAAGCGATTGACGATCGAAGATCATCAAAGATTCCCCTGAAGTATTACCATCTCAAGGTAGATTCTGATTTCCTAATTATTCCGAAGCGACTAAAGAGCTAAGCGACCTTTCCGGGAGGGCATGTATCGGGGAAGTTTCCTGTGGGAGACTTTTCTTCTGGTTCGCCGTCACTCTGGTGGCTTTTTATGCGGTGAGATCCATTCTGAGTGAACACATAAGACCCTCAGGTACACACAGTTCTCTCTTCCGACTGTCAATCCGATCGTGGATAGGATCATTCCCGGGAATCTTCCGGCGACGATGACTTCGATTTTTCAGGTGGAGACGGAGGGAAAAGCCATGGGGACGAGACGGAGGGAGATCCACTCGACGACGAACAAGGTGACGTCCCCTTTCACCCGTGTTGTATCCGCTCTTCGACCAGACCCTTCTCCCCCTAGGCCGAGCGAATCAAGCTCCTTGAAGAGGCCGCATGATATTCCCCGCATAATTGAGCGCGAACGGAGAATGGGTTGTTTATTCCAGACATACTCTCACCGCCCGGACGGGTCGATGAGGCATCGCAAATGATCAATGAATCGTTCACGCTCATCGAGCGGGAATACTTGAAAATTCGTGATACGTACTGGAACGAGAACCTGAAGAACAAGTTGTATCAGTCGGCCAGCGTATACAATTTACGCCTCAAGATGGGGATGAAGGCCTCATTGGAATTGATGAAAATTCGCCTGTTCCGCAACAGTGAGATCTTGCTCGCCGTACACAAGATTCTTCCGAACGCTGAGAGCCCTCAGGAGTTCATAACGGTGTCATACGCTCTACAGAGGCAGTTCCGATGGCTGAATGCACTGTTTTCATCAGGAAATCAGTTCTACACGGTGGATACCGGGTTTTCGTTGAATATTACCCGGTTTATTGCGAGTTCGTCTCTCCAGTTGTATTGGTGATAACCCTGACGCTTCCGGACACTTCAGACGATACCATGCACGTTTCTGAAGCACGAGTGAGCTCCATTTCAGAATGAGAACCCGCTGAATGGTAGATGTAATCCGGCGGTTCTGGGTTAGGTACCTCTCGCATGCCTTCAAAGATCTCCCATGTCGCTGCGGGACTTGATAGATCGGAAGAATGACCGCGGTGAGCGAGCTTACCAATTCTGATTCGCCCTCTTTACAGTTACTGCGTTTCCCGGACGCGAAGTGTGACGGTTTACCACTCGTATGGCAACTTTGGCTACCCTCAAGAGAACGAGTTGCATCAGCAATCACGGGAGTTTTTCATGACTACATGAGGGCTTACACGGAGGATATGATCATGCCTCATATCAAGAAGTTTTTATGAACGATTAATCTCCCTCACAAGTCCCCATCGGATCGGATGATTGATTGCGCAAAAATCGTCATAAATAGCGATGTTTGATTGATCCAGCGACCGAGTGTTTCTGTGAATGATTTAAGCCTCGGGATCGAGCCTATGTCCTGACTCAGGTGTGAAATCACTGGGCAGGCTCCGGATTTCGCGGCTGGGAACCATGCGGCAGAAATTTTGAAACTTTCAATGGTAAACTACAGAGACTCTCTACCTCCGCTTCAATGGTCAGCTACCGGTCCTATCCACGTGAGATGCGGGGAGTCCTACAGGAGGACGAAAACCCAGTGAAAAACGAGCGATGAACATCTCTCTTGGTCTTCGGGGCGTGGAGGAAAAAATCAGGATGGGGAGAGCGGGGAGAGCCGTCTTGATCTGCGAGTCTGATTGTGACTCACAATTTGTGAGCCGAAGTCTCAGCGACCATTGTCTTGATTTCAAACAAATAGCTCAAATAAACACGCTGCCTTGACCGTTCTCACCGATGAGAGAGCCTCAATGATAGCCGATTCCCAGAGCTCGAGACCTACTACGCCTTTCGTGTTCCATGAAGCTCCCCTGAGACTCGTCTCCTTACTCCGTCGGACCGGAGCTGCACACCTGCTCCTTGACGATAATGAAGTCCAATGATCTTCTTTCAGCAACCAGCACTGACGATGGGTGGGACCATGATTGGCGTCGCGAAAACCCTTCCGTGAGTCCCCATGGGGGCGACCATGAAGGAGAAGTTCTGAGTGACATCGCCTGGATATTCGAAAGTGAGCAGCGAAGCGTTCGCTCCGGGAGCTCCCGGCAAAGCTACCGGAAGAATGAAGGCCTCTTGGAATTTCTCTAGGCACCTTGATTTTTTTCTCTTTGAAGGTAGCGACTTCGGAGAACCTAGTGACCAGCTTCCTAGCGAGCCAGTTCCCCCCCGACGATTGGTTCCCTATTTCGCCGCGATCATGGTTGCGGCCTATGTTCTATTGACACTGGTGGATGCGCCGACTGTAGCCCCGGGTGAGGATGCCCTGTCATTTAAACTCTTTCGAATATCCCGCTTGATTTCGGGATGATTACTCGCCGACGGCTACGGTCGAAATGGGCCAGGGTTCTCAGAGCCGGGCTTCTGCTTCTCGCAGATATCGGCGGCGACAATAGACAGGTGCTTGACGAGACGGACACAGATACGTCTCCCGATATCCCGCCAACCATTGGTAGGTAATCGAGTCGATTCTTCACGAAGGAGCATACATGATTCACAAGTTGAGAATACGTTCGTCTATCGTTTCATCCCAGATTAGGGTAATCCATGCCGGTTTTCTTCATTTCAGGGAGTGGAACCACCCGACCCTCGAGAGCCCAGGTACGCGCGGAGAAAATGCTGAGAGAATCGTTCGAGAATATCGAAGCAGAGTTTGCGAGATATCGCAAAACTTACTGGAACGTTGACCTCGAGAATAAGTTATACAAATCAAGCGGCGTATACAATCTGCGGCTGCATTTGGTTCCGGCAACCAGAATCGAATTGCAACGAACTCAGCTGTTCTTCGATGGTGAGATCCGGGAAGCCTCGCGCTGTGTCCAGCAAGCATTATTCATTGATCCATTTGGCAAAAATTATCTACGATTCACAGCACCGGCGCCCCTGGCTCGATGCGTGCTTTACCTGACGCATACGAACTTACATGGCGGATATAAGACTATTGGTATGTTTTACAACGCTGTCTACTGTTGGTTCTCCCAACCAGTGAAACTTGAGGTCAACGTCTCGCTCCCAGTAGCAGCGACCGTCGGCTTGAAACTATCCGGGGTGAAAGTGAGTTGCACTGTTTTCTCCGAAAACCTCAAGGACATATGGCTTGGCGCCTGCTCATTGTAGGCCCTCTCCTTACAGCTGCTACCCTTACCGGAAATAGGATGTAATGAGGACATGTTGAACAGAGTAGGCAAGGCGAGATTAGCTGATGTCTATAGGTGTTACTTGAAAGCATATATCGATCACGAACTCACACCGTTCTTGAATAGATCTTTATGAAGGCCAGAACTCGATTGAGTACTTCTTTGGTCCCATTGATTCTTCGAGCTCAAGGGTCGTGGGAGCACGCACACGTTGTCCCGACTCACGAGTCGTAACTATGGATGAGAATCGAGTGTCGATTTTTCGAAGGATTCTCCTCTGATTCTATTGAAGCAGGAGGAGATATCCTCGAAAAGACGGACAGCCCGCCCGCCATGAATGTATTCAGGTAGCACCTCGCAATCGCTAGCCGCGAGTCCGACTATAATATGAAAGAGTTCGCTTTCCTCCTACCACTCCTCTCGGATTCCGTTGACCTGGACGGGGAAGTCTTGAGATTTGATTGTGTGGGAAGCTTTGTTGATTCAATTCGATCTCCCCCCTCCTTACATCACTGCAGCGCGGATTAGATTCGCGCGCGGAGTTGGGCCTGAAAGATTGAATGGAATTTGAACCACTAATCGATTTCGGTGATCTGGAAACTCTGATATCGGAACAGGGATCGGCTCGTCCTGAAGCCGCGATTGCGTTACTCGCTCACGGAGACACGCTTGCAGTGGATGAACCGATGTGGCGGCGTGAGACGACACCTTGAGATTGATTGACGAGCTTACTCCTCGAATGCCGCGATTCACTTTTACCGCTCGCTCTGCGGAATCGGTCACGATAACAAGATGAATAGCTTCCATGACCAGCAAGCTCCCCGAAACGGTGCTTGGAGGACATCTTCGCATGCCGTGCTAATCGATTGCTTTTATCACTAGAGGTCTTGAAGCAATGCGCACGGAGGAAGCCGTAAATGTTCCTGTCGTGGAGGTAGGGACAGAAAACGGTTG